GTCTAATCTGTAATTTGATGCCTTTTGGAGATTTTTCCATCTTTCCTTGGCTTCTTTATGCACATTAATACAAATTTTTAGCTGGGGTGCCCAAACATTCGATCCCCACTGTATATATATTTTGAATCCTTTTTTTTTTCAAGTTTGTTTGTCAGTTGTCACGTTCTGGACGTAAGACGCTTTTGTCAAGTCATTTTTATTTGGCCTCCCCTTCCAATTGGTCGACCTATTGTTAGATTGGTCGCTTAGATACCGAGGAGCCTCTTTTGACTGTCATATGATCTGTTCAAGTTTTGTTTTGAATATTGAAAATAAATGAAATAGAACTTTCAGTTTGTGGTGCTCAGATGCAGGTAAGTTCTGCTTTAACCGCTTTCCCGTCCGCCCTATATCAGATATACTGTTACGGGCGGCAGCGGTGCGCAAAATCACCTATATATACGTGATTTCGCATTTCCGGGAAGGGGGCGCGCACCCTACCCGCGCCGCTATTCGCGGCCTTGGCTGTCAGTCTCCGGGTCCCGGCTGGTGATTACCCTCTGGCACCCGGTGATTGCCAAGCATTAAACAACACAGATCTCTCCCCTATCAGCTCCTGCAAACTGCTTTGTATGGCTCTGCATAGCACAGCCATACAAAGCAGTGTGCTTAGTGTAAAGCACAGCGCACAGTTAACCCTGCCCTCTTGTAAAACACTCCCAGCACACAGTTAACCCTTTGATCGTCCCTCACATTAACTCCTTCCTGCCCAGTGCCATTAGTACAGTGTCAGTGCTTTTTATTAGCACTGATCACTGTATTGGTGGCACTAGGGATGTCAGTGACACCAAGTCAGTTCTCCCCAGTGTCAGAATGCCCACCGCAGTGCTGCTATGAGTCGCTGATCGCCACCATTACTAGTAAAAATAAATTTTTAAATCCCAGTATCTGTACCGCCATTTGTAAACGCTATAACTTTCATATGAACCAATTAATTTACACGTATCGGGATTTTGTTTGTAGCATAATACATTTTGTCCTAAATTTATGACAAAATGTGATTTTTTTAAAAAACATTTTTACTGGATATGTTTAATAGCAAAAAGTCAAAAATATTGTTTTTTTCTCAAAATTGTTGGTCTTTTTTTTTTTTGTTTTTATGGCGCAAAAATAAAAACTGCACAGGCGATCAAAAAGGATCTGGGGGTTCTGGTAGATCACAAGCTTAATAACGCCATGCAATGCCAAGCTGCGGGTTCTAAAGCGAGCAAAATCCTCTCATGTATTAGGAGAGGTATAGACTCCAGAGAGAGAGATATCATTCCCCCGGTACAAATCATTAGTAAGACCTCATCTGGAATATGCAGTTCAGTTTTGGGCACCAATTCACAAAAAGAACATTGGGGAACTGGAGAAAGTAAAGAGAAGGGCAACCAAACTGATACGGGGCATGGAGGAGATCAGCTATGAGGAAAGATTAGAGGAACTGAATGTATTCTCTCTTGAGAAGAGGAGATTAAGGGGGATATGATCTCCATGTATAATACATAAGGGGGGATATGACCACCATGTATAATACATAAGGGGGGATATGACCACCATGTATAATACATAAGGGGGGATATGATCTCCATGTATAATACATAAGGGGGATATGATCTCCATGTATAATACATAAGGGGGGATATGATCTCCATGTATAATACATAAGGGGGGATATGATCTCCATGTATAATACATAAGGGGGATATGATCTCCATGTATAATACATAAGGGGGGATATGATCTCCATGTATAATACATAAGGGGGGATATGATCACCATGTATAATACATAAGGGGGGATATGATCACCATGTATAATACATAAGGGGGATATGATCTCCATGTATAATACATAAGGGGGGATATGATCACCATGTATAATACATAAGGGGGGATATGATCTCCATGTATAATACATAAGGGGGGATATGATCTCCATGTATAATACATAAGGGGGGATATGATCTCCATGTATAATACATAAGGGGGGATATGATCTCCATGTATAATACATAAGGGGGGATATGATCTCCATGTATAATACATAAGGGGGATATGATCTCCATGTATAATACATAAGGGGGATATGATCTCCATGTATAATACATAAGGAGGGATATGATCTCCATGTATAATACATAAGGGGGGGGATATGATCTCCATGTATAATACATAAGGGGGGATATGATCTCCATGTATAATACATAAGGGGGGATATGATCTCCATGTATAATACATAAGGGGGGATATGATCTCCATGTATAATACATAAGGGGGGATGTGATCTCCATGTATAATACATAAGGGGGGATATTATCTCCATGTATAATACATAAGGGGGGATATTATCTCCATGTATAATACATAAGGGGGGATATGATCTCCATGTATAATACATAAGGGGGGATATGATCTCCATGTATAATACATAAGGGGGATATGATCTCCATGTATAATACATAAGGGGGGGATATGATCTCCATGTATAATACATAAGGGGGGATATGATCTCCATGTATAATACATAAGGGGGGATATGATCTCCATGTATAATACATAGGGGGGGATATGATCTCCATGTATAATACATAAGGGGGGGATATGATCTCCATGTATAATACATAAGGGGGGGATATGATCTCCATGTATAATACATAAGGGGGGGGGGATATGATCTCCATGTATAATACATAATGGGGGATATGATCTCCATGTATAATACATAGGGGGGATATGATCTCCATGTATAATACATAAGGGGGGATATGATCACCATGTATAATACATAAGGGGGGATATGATCTCCATGTATAATACATAAGGGGGGATATGATCTCCATGTATAATACATAAGACAAGGGGGGATATGATCTCCATGTATAATACATAAGGGGGGGGGGTATGATTTCCATGTATAAATACATCAGTGGTTCATTTAGTGAACTCGGTGTAGTTATTCCCCCTGAGGTCATCACAGAGGACAAGGGGCACTATTTATGTCTGGAGGAAAAGAAATGTAATCTCCAAACACAGAAAGGTTTCTTCACAGTAAGAGCTGTGAAAATGTGGAATAGACTCCCTCAAGAGTTGGTTCTGGCCAGCTCAGTGGATTGCTTTAAAAGTCCTGGATTCTTTCTTGGATACACAGAATATAACTGGATATAACATTTATAGGTAAAGTTGATCCAGGGAATATCCAATTGCCTCTCGGGGGATCAGGAAGGAATTTTGTTCCCAGCAGGAGCAAATTAGATCATGCTTTGCTGGGTTTTTTGACGCCTTCTGGATCAACTGTGGGTGTAGGATTATAACTTTTTTTTTTTTAATGGTTGAACTGGATGGACTTTTGTCTTTTTTCAGCCAGAATAACTATGTAACTATGTATGTATAACGCTGCTGCTCCGGGACGCACTGGCCCTGGGTTTTTTTTTCTTCTCTGGAGGGCAAGTGGTTAATGCAAAACAATGGGGCAGATATGGATCTTTGATAAATCAGCCGCATAGTTCTAGTAATAATAAAGAAAGCAGATTCTCTCTTTGCCTCTCCATGCCAAGCTCGTCTTGTGTGAACTGTAATTAGTGACTGTATAGTGTTTTTTGAGTGGCTATTAGATGGAGCCCGGTATGTAGAAATGAGCTGAATAGGTGTTGGATGGCTGGGAAGGAGGACCCTAGTGGGGGCTCTTTTCTCTTGTGTCGCTGTGAGACGCCCACCCTGAATATTCTCCGCACAGCTGCACTTGGGAAATTAGCCTGAAGATTGCAGTTATTATCTTGATTGACATTTAATAGATCGCCTAAACATTTACCGCCGATGTGCTCTTAGTAATGTGGTGCGGGCCTCCTCCGTCTACAGCTAAAAGCTGCAATTAGACATGTAAACGAATGCCGGGGTCTCTGCTTGCCTTCCGACGCGCCACCCTTGCAGGCCCGCCATCCGCAGTGCCGCTGGTTCGTCTGCTGCGTCCGCCGCCGTCTTCTGAGCATCGAACGAGTTACTCCTGTAATCAGCCCCCCGCTGTTATCCTGCAAGAGGAATATGGAACAGAAGAGCCTCATTTGCCGCGTACAAGTCAAAAACTGATTTCTTGTAAACAAGCGTTCCAGTTGACCTTACAGAGTTTGCTGTGTTATTGTGTTAGCCTCCCAAAGCGGACCTATTATGAAATTCACATTTCTGCCTGGATTATAAATTATAATTCTTTTTTGGAGCTAATAAAAAAAAAAAACGACTCCCAATGTGACCTAAAATTTAGGCAAATATCATGTGGTCATCTTATACAAAGGGTGTACTCAAAGTAATGCAAAAGGGGCATAGCTTTTTTTTTTTTTTTTTTTTTTTAAGTGAGAGAACTTGCACAATTGGTGGCTGACTAAATACTTTTTTGCCCCACTGTATTTGAAATGTATTTTTAAAAATCTTTTTCATATATTTTGTAATAAAAAAGCATTTCAACATGCAGTGTATGTATATATATTTATTTATTGAAAATATATTTTGAAATATATTAAATATGGCCAAAGTTGTAGTATTTCAAATATATTTTTCTTCCATATGGGTAACCAGGCCATTTTTTTTTGCGATACTGCACTGCGTTACTTTAACAGACAATTGCGTGGTCATGGAACGCTGTACCCAAATTAAACGTATGTCCTTTTTTCCCATGAATAGAGCTTTGTTTCAGTGGTTTTTTTTTTTTGCACTATAAACAAAAAAAATAGTGACAATTTTGAAAACAAAAAACAATATTTTTGACTTTAATGCTATTAAACATGTCCAGTAAAACAAATTTTAAAAATCAATGTATATCAGGCCTGTTCTGTTTTTTAATGATCGCACAGAGAAGCAATTACTACCTTTTTGCCAGTTTTTTGCTCTTGTATTCATTCCTGATAAAACAATTGAAACCTCATCCTGCTTAGAAGTAACATTGATGATGATAACATTGTCAGATGGATTTATTTATTTATTTTCCAGGGAAGAGAAAACGGAACAATTTCTGGACAGTAAACAGGAGGTAGCCCAGTTGGAAGCGGAGCTCAAGAGACTGCAGCAGGAGGTCAGAGGTCACATTAACCCTATAAATATTTTATATTGGGCCGGACACATGATGCCTTTAGGTGGATGGGATTTGTCTTTTTAGATGCCTCTCTGAATTTATTTTCATCTATTTATTAAGGCTGTTGGACTAAATATATGATCATAATATTTGCCTGTCTATAGACATTATTATTATTATACATATGTACATATTATTATATATATATATATTTATATAGCGCCATTGGGTATGCTCAGCGCTGTACAATAGCAAGGGGGACAGAACATGAGACAAGACAGTAACAATACAATACACAAGGGGTTCGAGGGCCCTGCTCTTTCGAGCTTACAATCTAGGAATCTGTCATGTACAGTATTTATCAGTCTATCTTACCCCCAACCAGCTATCTTTTAACTGCAATTGTTAATCCATTGCTTGCTTTAGGCCTGGTTCACACTTATGCATTTTTTAGTGCTTTTTGCTGAAACGTGAAACAGTTAATTTGACATGGTTTCCAATGGGACACGTTCACATCATTTTTGCTTTGTTTTGTATTCTGCCCAGCAACAAAAACATTTCCCCTTTAACAAAAAAAAAAAGCTGAAAAAATGCAAACCGCACATGTAAAAACGCAAAGTGAAATGCAAAAAACGAATCAAAAGCAAATTGAATTGGTGTGTTCCAGGCCTTACACCGACAACCCCCGACCAAGTTGGAACTGTACTGATTTTTTTTTTTTTTTTTTTTTTTTTTTTAAGTCCGCAAACGTGCAAACTACAACGAAAAACCTGTAAGTGATCACAAAAAATGTGCAAGTGCGAACACCACACGAAAAAGTGCACTTAGGGGTGTGTTTGTCCTACCCCCGGAAGGGTTGGACCGTTCACCTGATCCCCCGGGGCACGAAGCTCCTGACAGGGACAAGGTTCCCATTTGGTCCTCCTGGCCAAAAGGCCTGGTGGACCACCATTCCTTATGCCCAGCCGAAGCCGGACATCCAGTACTAGGCAAGGGGGTTCTCCCGAAGAGAAAACCCCCTAGGGATCAGGGGAGGAAGGAACCGTAGGGCCACACATCCTCCCCCTAGACTTCAGGTAAGGCCCGAGGACCCACACCCTCCATCCGTGAAAAACACACACATAAGTAAAGTAAAAAGTGACAAAACGTGGGAGTGCCTAATAAATAAGGTAAAGATAAAGTAAAGAAAAAATAAAAAAGTGGTACCGTGCCGAATTGTGCACAGACCAGGCCCTGAGGCCCGTAGCAAAAATTGCCCTGGACTTAGCCAAAAGACCTGGTCCTTAGGGCGCTGTGCAAAAAGAGGTGAACAAAAACAACAGTGGCCATGTGTCATCTTCACACCGTGGGGTCCCACACCCAAGTGTTACTAGTGACACCCCTGAGAGCGTCTTCCCCAGGGGGCACTGAGTTTGCGGACTTTTTTGCGTCCCCAGCCCCAGGCCAGACCAAGGTAGATCCGTCCAAATCAGGAGGTACTGGGTCTTTCCAGTCTTCCCAGAGGAATTACTCCCAAGGCCCCAGAACGAATCATGGCGCTCCCTGGTTTCTGTCCCTCCGGTACTAGCCTTCCGGACCCCCATCATACCAGTGAGGGTACTATACAACAACCATCCCCGCAAAGCTAGAATGGTCGGGAGCACCCCCACTGGACACTGATAAGAACAGATACTACACTTGATCTTAGCCAAAAGGCCGAGTTGGAACTGTACTGATATGATCGCTCTCATTGCGGTCAATAGGGAGCGACTTGGCACGTGATTTGCAAGTCGCATGGCATGCAAATTGCATGCCAAGTCACACCCAGTGTGACTGGGGAACTTACTGGCCTGGACTGGAAGGGGGTGAAAGTGTCCGGACTTGAAGTGGTTAAGCTCTAATCCCTCAAAAACAAACTGCACTGTGAATATGTAAGTGTAAATCAAAAAATCAAAAAAGTGTACACATATCTCATAACATGCTGCCACATTGAGTTAATAGAGAAAATAATATAATAATCTATAAAATATATATAAATATTCTATAAAAATATATATATAAGCACCGCATTAATATTTTATATATTTTTTATAAATATTATTATATTATAAGCTCTAATCCTTGACTTTTGCAATGTAGGACCTCCAAAACATAAACTATTTACATATTACAATTGATTTGCTAAAATTGGAGAGTGCAAAATCTGATGCAGCTCTGCATAGAAACCAATCAGCTTCCAGGTTTTATTTTCAAAGCTTAATTGAACAAGCTGACGTTAGAAGCTGATTGGCTGCCATGCACAGCTGCACCAGATTGTGCACTCTCCAGTTTTAGTAAATCAACCACTTAAAGTCGTTCACGTTAGAATTTGGGCAAACAACACATTAACAATCACGAGCGACATTAATTTCTCTTATTGTGGAACACTTTTTCGATTGACCATGACCGACCTAGATTCTGAAATGCCTCATTGTAAAATGTGACGCGACCAAAGCTGCACATACAGATTTCTTTCATTTAGCCTGCAGACTGAACAAAAGAAATCTAGCAGATCCCTCCTTCCATTCTAACAGCTCGGATAGATGAGCCACCCCCAGGGGCGGACTGACCATTTGGAAACTCGGGCACTGCCCGAGGTCCCGGGGTCAGTAGGGGGCCCCATGAGATGCCCCTGGTACCTTTTTCATAGGCTTTTTTGAGTTTGGGCAAGGACACAGGGGCCCCATGATCCCCTATTGCCCGGGGGCCCCATGAGTTGTCAGTCCGCCCCTGGCCACCCCTACCGCGCTACTGTAATCTGAATGCATGAATAGTGCCTGTATCTGATTGGATGCTGTTTGGCTGACAGTTTTCTGGCCGACTTCTTTGCCAAAAGTCAATTGAACAATTTTTGGCCGGGGCCATACACTGCTCGAATTTTATCTGAGCAGGCAATATTTAACTGAAATTCAAGCTGTGCATGGTCAGTATAATCGTCTCTACAGACTACGCAAGACAAGGAAGGCGAACAAAAATTTGTTCTAATACCAGTCATTTTAGCAGGTGAACCTGTTATTATAAAAGAACCTAACATTAGCATATAAGCACCTAAAATTCTCATTTGATTGTTGCTAAAGCATAATAATAATTCTGAATCACCTAACACACACCTGCACCGGAAGTGAGGGGAAATTTCCAAAACAGACAGATAACAATTAAAGGTTGACAGATGTTCCTTCCCTTCCTCTTCTATGCAGAAGGTTTTGTCTGGCGGAAATCGGGAGGAAATCGCGAGGATGCCATTGCTGACCTCCTTTTCTAAAAATACTGTTTTACTGGCTATCATGCTGGAGAAATGACATATCTACTAAGTCCTCATACACACTGGAAGTTTTTAAAGCGGCTGTTTTTGGCTTTTGATGTTTTTTTTTCTACAGCCAGTAAACCCCCCAGCATGTTATACGATATGTGTCCATACACACATAGACCGGAATCAGCGTTTTTTGGCTAGAAAAAAAAAAACCCAGGACTAGTGGGTTTCTAGAGGAGTTTTTTAGCTGTAAAAATGCTGTAATGCTGAAAACACAGTAAAACGTGGTAAGACGCCGCAAATTTTATTTTGGTCTAAAAAAAGCTAAAAATGCAAACGTGGCAAAATGCTGCTAAATGCTGATGCAAAAACAATAAAACAATAAAAAAAAAAAAAGCTGAAAAACGTTTTTAGCATTTCTTTACATAGCTAATGTTACCAGCGTTATCAAAACACCCCGTGTGCATGGAGCCTAAGTCCTCATGCACACGGGACATTTTTACAGCGGCTGTTTTTGGCTTTTGACGTTTTTTCTACAGCCAGTACCAGGGGCGGACTGACAACTCATGGGGCCCCCGGGCAATGGGGGATCATGGGGCCCCTGTGTCCTTGCCCACACTCAAAGCACACCCAAAAAAGCCTATAAAAGGTACCAGGGGCATCTCATGGGGCCCCCTACTGACCCCGGGCCCTCGGGCGGAGCCCGAGTGCTTGAATGGTCCGTCTGCCCCTGGCCAGTACACCCCCCAGCATGTTATCCAATGTGTCCATGCACACACAGACTGGAATCAACGTTTTTTTGCTGGAAAAAAAACCCAGGACTAGTGGGTTTCTAGAGCAGTTTTTTAGCTGTAAAAATGCTCTAACTCTGCAAAACATGGTAAAACGTGGTAAAACGCTGCAAATTTTTTTTCTGTCAAAAAAAGCTAAAAAACACTAAAAACGAAAACACGGCTAAATGCTAATACAAAAACGCAAAAAAAAAAGTTTTTAATGTGACTTTACACAGCTGACGTTACCATCAAAACACACCGTGTGCATGGAGCTTAAGTGCTCTTGCACAATGAACGTTTTTACAGCGGCTGATTTTGGCTTTTGGCATTTTTTTCTACAGCCAGTAAACCCCCCAGCATGTTATCCTATGTGTCCATGCACACTTAGACTGTAATCAACAATTTTTGGTGGTAAAATGCCGCAATTTTTTTTTTTTTTGGGTCAAAAAAAAGCTAAAAAACGCTAAAAATGTAAACGCGGGAAAACGCCACTAAACACAGCGAAACCGCTAAGCTCTATTGCAAAAACCTATGTGTTCTTGCGCACACAGACTAATCAATGTTTTTGGCTGGAAAAAAATCCCAAGACTAGTGGGTTTCTAGAGGAGTTTTTTTAGCTGTAAAAATGCTCTAACTCTGCAAAACGCGGTAAAACGTGGTAAAACGCCGCAAATGTTTTTTTCCGGCAAAATAAGCTAAAAAACACTAAAAACGAAAACACGGCTAATACAAAAACGCTAAAAAAAAAGTCTTTAACGTGACTTTACACAGCTGATGTTACCATCAAAACACACCGTGTGCATGGAGCTTAAGTCCTCTTGCACAATGAACGTTTTTACAGCGGCTGTTTTTGGCTTTTGGTGTTTTTTTCTACAGCCAGTAAACCCCACAGCATGTTATCCTATGTCGCACTTAGACTGTAATCAACATTTTTTGGTGGTAAAATGCCGCAAATTTTTTTTTTTTTGGGTCAAAAAAAAACCTAAAAAACCGCTAAAAATGTAAACGCAGGAAAACGCCACTAAACACAGCGAAACCGCTAAGCTGTAATGCAAAAACCTATGTGTTCTTGCACACATAGACTAATCGTTTTTTGGCTGGAAAAAAATCCCAGGACTAGTGTTTCTAAAGGAGTTTTATAGCTGTAAAAACGCTCTAACGCTGAAAAACGTGGCAAAACACCACACATTGGCGTTTTTGGACTTTTTTTGACAAATTTTGAAAAATTATGTTATTTGGTAAAAAAAAAAAAAAACGCAAACGCGAGAAAACACCAATGCAAAAACGCTTTAAAAAAAAAGCTGGGAAACTCCCGTTTTTTTACCGCGACTTTACACAGCTAACAGCGTTATCAAAGCACCCCGTGTGCATGAGGACTAATACTTTCAGCAAGTGTGCAGATCAGGTCTGATTTTCCTCATTTGTGTGCATTTTCTGGGTCAGTGACAGGGAAAATATGGAAGGCAGAGACAGTCAAGCGACTAACCTATTATTACGAAGGTCGGCAATGGCGTAGTGCACGTTCAGTGTGCGGCATTTGCACCCAGCATGCGTACTCTTATCAAAGATATCCCAAATATGTCAGCATGGTGTGCTCCGGGTTCCTGAAGGCTGGATCATTTCTCCTACTTGATGTTACATTGATAGAAGCCATGCATGGGTAGGTTTCAAATATTCATAACCCCGGTATTTATTTATGAGCACATATCCCTCCCAGGTGCGAGTTAAGTGCCCCGTGTTCTCCCGAGTCTTCATGAGTATGTCAGCAGAAAAGATGTTTTTGCATGCTGAGGCTTTTTATCTATACCGCTTATGTGAGATGCCACAACATAGGATCTTCTATGACATGAATTAGGACAAGAACTATGTCTAGACTGTTCATAGATCCATATACGTTCTATTGTGTATCAAATGAAATATGTCAGATTGCTTTCCAAGAAAATACCTCCAACCAGGGGCGGACTGACAACTTATGGGGCCCCCGGGCAATAGGGGATCATGGGGCCACTGTGTCCTTGCCCATACTCAAAAAAGCCTATTAAAAAGGTACCAGGGGCATCTCATGGGGCCCCCTACTGACCCCGGGCCCTCGGGCAGTGCCCGAGTTTCCAAATGGTCGGTCCGCCCCAGCCTCTAACCGCAGAATTCAAGCATTTCCTACTGTTACTGAAAACTGTAATTTAAGAGGACCTCTAATAAGTCACCAACACGCCGTCATTTATTGTACCTTCAAGTTTGTCATCCAAGGGCTCCCTTAGCTGATTTGTCAGGACAGTGTGGTCCTTAAACGGTGTCTATGGGAGCCCTTGTGCTGGGTGGTACAAGGGGTGGGCAGGAGGGGCACTGTGGTATCATATAAGGCAGGGGGACACCACGAGGGGAGGGGATTTGTTTTGGAAAGGGGAATTTGGGGAGTGGCAGGGGGTAAAAATTGTTCTAGGAGGGGGAATTTTGGGAGTGGTGATTGATGGGGGGGGGGGAAAGGTGTGCTAGGAGGAGGGGTTTGGGGGGTTTGTGCTAGAAAAGGTAATGTGGGGGGGGGGATTTATGCTAGGGTGGAATTTTTTTTTTTGGGGGGGGGATTTGTGCTAGGATGGGGGATTGGGGGAGGGGAATTTGTTTCTGGGAGGGGGGATTTGGAGTAGGGGGAAGAGGATTTGTGCTCGGAAATGAAATTTAAGGGGCAGAGGATTTGTGCTGGGAGGGTTTTTTTTTTTTATACAAGGGGGGAATTATTTTTGGGGAGGGTATTTTGTTCTGGAAGGGGGGATTTGGAGTAGGGGAAAGAGGATTTGCGCTCAGAAGTGAAGTTTGAGGGGCAGAGGATTTGGGCTGGGAGAGTGATTTTTTTTAATTTGGGGGGGGGGGGTTGGGAAGGGGGCAGGGGCGGACTGACCATCTGGAAACTTTGGCACTGCCCGAGGGCCCGGGGTCAGTTGGGGGCCCCATTAGATGCCCCGGTACCTTTTTCATAGGCTTTTTTGAGTTTGGGCAAGGACACAGGGGCCCCATGATCCCCTATTGCCCGGGGGCCCCATGAGTTGTCAGTCCGCCCCTGGAAGGGGGCATATGTGGAGTGACAAAATTTAAGCTGGGGGGAATGGGTGGGGGGGGGGGCAAGGAGTTGTGCTGGGAGAGGGGATTATAGCAGGGGGCTGGATTTGTACTGGGAGGAGGGGGGATTTATATTTAGGGGCTAAGCATGCAGATCAGTGCTCAATTTGTTTTTTTTTTTTTGGGGGGGAGAGGGGGGATTTTTGCTGACACATAATTCTCACACATCTTGGAGGGAGGGGGTGCAATTTGGCATGTTTGCCCTGGGCTTTAGATGACCTTGTCCCAGCAGTGCCCTTGTGTGACAAGCTTGATCTTACCGTAAACCACTTGAACAGAATGGTAAAATGGATGAGCCCCCAAAATTGAACCAATGTATGGTCAGCAGAGGTGCCCATTAAATGTATTTAATGGGTGCCTCTGCCAACCACACATTGGTTCAATTTTGGGGGCTCATCCATTTTACCATTGTTTACTGGATCCGATCACAACTAGCAAGGTGCAAGAGTTTCCGGAAAAGCTCTACAAGCACCGAATTTGCCTACACTGCTCATGGAAACAGTCATATTCTCCCTATGTGCTTACAAAAAGGTTGCTTTTCTTGACCCAAGGATGGGCCTTCAGCAGCCTTATGAATGTGAGTGTACACCTACAGTACTTTTTTGCCATCCGTACAACTGGATACTACTCTTAGAAGAATCTCTCTTGTGGTTTTTTGTCCCATTTTCCTCCTTGTTTCTGCTCATCTGGAGAACGACTGCCTCATTTGAATGAAAAAGTGTTGGTGATATACTACAGAATTGGTTGTAATTGTGACTGTACCAGTTACTATGGGCAGCCAGTTAAAAAGCCCTATGGTCTGTAGCGAACAAATAAAAAAGTGAAAGGAGCCTATCAACGTGGTGTTTGATGCCACCACCTAGGCTCTCATTCGGCACTGGAGGCAGGTATTGCCTGACTCTAGGTCCAGGGAAAAGCATATCACTCTAGCATCATGAACAATAATGTGCCCATCCAGGCTGGCACTGCTCCAGAGAGTCAGGTTATGGCATTATCCTATGTTGCATGGGAGCTTCAGCTTTCACAGGTTATACCAGGATTCGGGGAGATGTCCCCCCGCGGTTAGGAGGAGGAGAAGGGTGAGAAAGGTGGCATGGGAGCGGGATGTGCAGGAGCGTGAGAAACTACTAGTGGAGGTGTTCGGGTCAGTGGGAGAGTGGAGTAATAGGAGGAGGTGGTGGGTGCCGTAGAGGTGCGAAGGAAGCAGTGAGGACACAATAGACTCGACTACTGCAACTCGCTCCTCACTGGCCTGCCTCGCCGCTGGCTATCCCCGCTTCAGTCAATCCTGAATACGGCTGCCAGACTCATTCACCTTTCCAACCGCTCCATCTCCGCCTCCCCCCTCTGCCAATCCCTCCACTGGCTTCCGATTGCGCAACGGATCAAATTCAAAATCCTAACACTGACGTACAAAGCCGTCCACCATACTGCCCCCAAACTACATCACCGACCTAATATCCAAGTACCACCCAGCACGCACACTCCGCTCCTCACAAGACCTCCTTCTCTCTAGTTCCCTGGTCTCCTCCTCCCTTGCCCGCCTCCAGGACTTCTCCAGGGTGTCGCCCATCCTCTGGAACTCCCTGCCCCAAACCCATTAGATTATCACCTACTCTCCTCTCCTTTAGGCGCACCCTGAAAAACCCATCTCTTCAGGGAATCCTACCCTACCCCCTGCTAACCTGCCGACCTCCTCCACTCTTCTTACCACTCCATCCCCCACAGCTATCTCCTCCTGTGCCACCATCCCCTCCCTCCTAGATTGTAAGCTCGAAAGAGCAGGGCCCTCAATCCCCCTCATGTTTTGCATTGTATTGTTATTGTTCTGTCACATGTTCTGTCCCCCTTTGTAATGTACAGCGCTGAGCGAACCATTGGCTCTTTATAAATACTGGTATAATAATAATAGCAATCCTTACTAGTGTCCTATATAGAGTACCTTCAAAAACCACTGCAAAAGACATATTAGCCGAAAGAGAAACTGTAAATAAAAAAATAAATGTGTGTAAAATATATGATCAACATACAATGAATGTTAAAGAGATGTTGTCCTATTACATATTTGGTCTGCTTGTTAGAAAATTGACTCTGCTAAAAAAAATGTTGGCTAATTTCATATATTTCCGACTTTGGTTTCTCTAGAACATGAATCTGTTGGCCGATGCCAGGTCTGCTCGCATGTACAGGGATGAGCTAGACCACTCAGGGAAAAAGCTGTACGACAGTTGACAAGCTTGAAAGTGAAGTCAACCGGTACTAAAAGAACGGATGCACGACATTGAGTTTTTTACAAAGCCAGGGTAGATAGGTAAGTGGTCCATGTCTGAAAACGTCTTAAAAACAACTCAAGTGATCAGCAGGAGGAAATAGAGCTCCCATCATTGAGGTATTAGTGGGAGGAATAGTGCCCCATCATTGGTATCAGTGGGAGGAATAGTGCCCCATCATTGGTATTAGTGGGAGGAATAGTGCCCCATCATTAGTATTAGTGGGAGGAATACTGCCCCATCATTGGTATCAGTGGGAGGAATAGTGCCTCATCATTGGTATCAGTGTGAGGAATAGTGCCCCATCATTGGTATTAGTGGGGGAATATGTCCCCATCATTGGTATCAGTGGGAGGAATACTGCCCCATGCATTGGTATCAGTGGGAGGAATACTGCCCCATCATTGGTATCAGTGGGAGGATAGTGCCCCCATCATTGGTATCAGTGGGAGGAATAGTGCCCCATCATTGGTGTCAGTGGGAGAGAATAGTGCTCCATCATTGGTATCAGTGGGAGAATAGTGCCCCATTTATGGTATCAGTGGAAGGAATAGTGCCCCATCATTGGTATCAGTGGGGGAGGGATAGTGCCCCATCATTGGTGTCAGTGGCAGGAATAGTGCCCCATCATTGGTATCAGTGGGAGGGAATTAGGTGCCCCATCATTGGTATCAGTGGGAGCGATAGTGCCCCATCAATGGTGTCAGAGGCAGGAATAGTGCCCCCATTGTAATCAGTGGGAGGAATATGCCCCATCATTGGCTATCAGTGGGAGGAATAGTGCCCCATCATTGGTATCAGTTAGTGCCCATCATTGGTGTCCAGTGGAGGAATAGTGCCCCATCATTGGTATCAGTGGGAGGAATATGCCCCCATCAATGGTATTAGTGGAGGAATAGTGCCCCATCATTGGTGTCAGTGGGAGGAATAGTTGCCCCATCATTGGTGTCCATTGGGAGGAATAGTGCCCCATCATTGGTATTAGTGGAAGGAATAGTGCCCCATCATTGGTGTCAGTGAGAGGAATAGTGCCCCATCATTGGTATTAGTGGAAGAATATAGCCCCCATCATTGGTATCAGTGGGAGGAATGGTGCCCCATCATTGGTGTCAGTGGGAGGAATAGTGCCCCATCATTGGTGTCAGTGTGGGAAGGAATAGTGCACCCATCTTGGGTATCAGTGGGAGGGATAGTGCCCCATCATTGGGGTGTCAGTGGCAGGAATAGTGCCCCATCATTGTATCAGTGGGAGGAATAGTGCCCCATCATTGGTATCAGTGGGAGCGATAGTGCCCCATCAATGGTGTCAGAAGGCAGGAATAGTGCCCCCGTCATTGGTATCAGTTGGGAGGAATAGTGCCCCATCATTGGCATGACAGTGGGAGAATAGTGCCCCATCATTGTATCAGTGGGAGGAATAGTGCCCATCATTGGTGTCAGTGGGAGGAATAGTGCCCCATCATTGGTATCAGTGGGAGGAATAGTGCCCCATCATTTGGTATTAGTGGAAGGAAATAGTGCCCATCATTGGTGTCAGTGAGAGGAATAGTGCCCCATCATTTGTGTCAGTGGGAGGAATGTGCCCCATCATTGGTATAGTGGAAGGAATAGTGCCCCATCATTGGTGTCAGTGAGAGGAATAGTGCCCCATCATTGGTGTCAGTGAGAGGAATAGTGCCCCATCATTGGTATATAGTGGAAGGAAATAGTGCCCCATCATTGTATTCCAGTGGAGGAATGAGTGCCCCATCATTGGTGTCAGTTGGGAGGAATAGTGCCCCCATCATTGGTGTCAGTGGAGGAATATAGGCCCCATCAATTGGTATCCAGAGGGAGGAATAGTGCCCCATCATTGGTATCAGTGGGAGGAATAGTTCCCCATCATTGGTGACAGTGCGTAGGAATACGAGCCCCATCATTGGTATCAGTGGGAGGAATAGTGCCCCATCATTGGTATCAGTGGGAGGAACAGAGCCCCAACATTAGTATCATTAGGTAGGAAAAGAGCCCCCATCATTGGTATCAGTGGAGGAATAGTGCCGCCAATCATGGTATTGGGATAGGAATCGTGTCCCCATTCAGGGTCCCAGTGGGAGGAATAGTGCCCCATCATTGGTATCAGTGGGAGGAATAGAGCCCCATCATTGGTATCAGTGGGAGGACCCGAGCCCATACATTGGGTAATCAGTGGAGGAATAGAGCCCCATCATTGGTATCAGTGGAGGAATAGTGCCCCATCATTGGTATCAGTATGGAGGAATAGTGCCCCATCATTGGTACCAAGTGGGAGGAATAGTGCCCCATCATTGGTAATCAGTGGGAGGAAAGTGCCCCTTCATTGGTATTATGTCAGAATAGTTGGCCCCTTCAAATGGTATATAAGTGTACCATCTTTGGTATTAGTGGAGGAATAGTTCCCCATCATTGGTATTAGGGGCAGAAATAATTATAAATCTTTGGTATTATTGGGAATTATTAATGCCCCATTGTGTATATCAGTGGGAAGAAAAATGCCCCATCATTGTGTAAATGGGAGGAATAATGGCCCCATTATTAGCTTAATAGGGAGGAATAATGCCCCATGTTAGTGTAAATGGAAGAAAAAATGCTCCATCCTTGGTTTAAGTGGGGAGGAATAATGCGCCTTCATTGGTGTCAGTGCCATACTGCCTCGTGGTTGGTGTCAGTAGGAGGACCAGACATAGCCCTCAGGCCGCAGTTTTTGGAGACCACTGGCCAATAGGCTCTCTGCTGCTGATCTTTTCCTAGTAAGGGACTTCCCATGCCTCATTCTGAACTATTCCTCTATGTGGAGCTCACCATCTTTGTACAGGCAGGCTTTACTTCCTAATGTCAAAGCTGACCCCCCCCCCCCCCGATGTCTCTGGTAACTGATGAGGGATATATTTAGGATGCAGCAGGAGAAGTGTGAAAATCATCCATACAATGAATGTAGCCGAAGCAGGGAGATCCTTCCACTACAGTCTCCTTTACAGCAGGGAGAAAATGTGAGCAGCACAGTTATGACATAACTAAATCTCACTGAAACTAATTGGGTCACACTGCAAATATACAGCCAGGAAGCTGTAGGCACAGGAAGTGCACTGCTACTTTTTCAGGAGGAATTGAAGAAACAGTTAAATCTTTCAGGGAAGCGGCTAGGCACCATTAACATTTAAAGAGAAACTTCAGTCCCTTTAAACTGCAGAACCTGGCGCTGCCATCTTTAATGTCCCGCACATGTGCAGAAGTGCCAAGTGGCTCTGTTCAGCCTTCAGAACATAGGGTGAAGGTCCGCCTTTAACTTAGCTATTCAAGTTCAGGTCCATTTTAAAGTGTACCTGTCACTTACAGCAGACAGAGTTTACTGTATGTGTCAATACGAAATGTGACCGAAACTAGATTCTATGTTATAATCATCCAAATGAAAACACTGATGATATCCAGTACTGTGAATATATTTTTCCTGCTCAGTTAGATATTCTGCAGAATATGTAGTTGTGTTAGCACAACCTTCATCCAGTGTACCAACTATTATGTCCACCCAATGCTGCACTTGGTCATAATAATCTTTTTAAATTATAATTATGTGACTTGTAGGAGTTAAAAGAAGACAATCAGGTGCTTCTGGAAACAAAAATCATGTTGGAGGACCAGCTGGAGGGGTCCCGAGCTCGGTCTGATAAACTGCATGAGCTAGAGAAGGAAAATATTCAGTTTCAAAGCTAAGATCCATGATATGGAGATGGTGAGTATCTACCAATGTGTACCTAATGTATGGTTTTTTGTTTGTATATGGTAGTGTCTTCGTCCATCACCCATTCCGACCTGATACAGCCAAGTTCACATTCTTATTATTCTCTGAAAGCTATCCGCGATGGAGTGCAACTAAGTAGCCACGTCACCCGTTTCCTGGCTGGTTGGTTGCTTTAGCAAGGGACACAAACACAATTGGCAACCTAGCTTCCTCTGGACAGCATTCTGCTTGTTAAACCCATGCTCTGCATCTTCTCTAAACTCAGTCCCTTGCTGGACTGTAAGCCTTGTTCTTTTGATATGTCATGCATGCACCCCTTTAGAGAGACTTCAGACCTTGGCCCTTCCGGCTGCATTGTAGAGTTTAGAGGAGAGGTCTCTTTTTACTGCCCCCAATGCAATTGTACAATCCAAACGCACACGTAAAAATGGCTGTGTGCAGGGGCGGACTGACCATTTGGAAACTCGGGCACTGCCCGAGGGCACGGGTTCAGGAGGGGGCCCCATGAGCTGCCCTTGGGCCCCAGGGTCAGGAGGGGGCCCCATGAGATGCCCTTGGTACCTTTTTCATAAGCTTTTTTGGGTGTGGGTTGAGTGTGGGCCAGGGGCGGACTGACAACTCATGGGCCCCCGGGCAATAGGGGATCATGGGCCCCTGTGTCCTTGCCCAAACTCAAAAAAGCCTATGAAAAAGGTACCAGGGGCATCTCATGGGGCCCCCTACTGACCCCGGGCCCTCGGGCAGTGCCCGAGTTTCCAAATGGTCAGTCCGCCCCTGGTGTGGGCAAGGACACAGGGGCCCCATGGTCTCCTATTGCCCGGGGGCCCTATGAGTTCTCAGTCCACCCCTGGCTGTGTGTATAAGTGGGGTGCTTCAGCGACCGTTGGCTGGAACCAAACAAAATCAGCAAGGAAAAATGTCACAAGCACATCGAGGATCACCAATATGGGTCCAAAGGTTTTAATGAACGATCACTTAGTTACAGCAAGGCAACGTTTCTGAGTCTCGCAGGACCCCTTCATCAGGCATGTGACAAATTGTGATAGAAACTGGAGAACTATTTGGTTCTCTGGAGAACTATATGGTTTTCTTAAATAGTTCTCCAGTTTCTATCACAATTTGTCACATGCCTGATGAAGGGGTCCTGCGAGACTCCGAAACGTTGCCTTGCTGTAACTATGTGATCATTTATTAAAACCTTTGGACCCATATTGGTGATCCTCGGTGTGCTGGTGACATTTTTCCTTTTTTACTGCCCCCGGCGCCCATGTGAAAGAGGCCTAAAGTAATTTGCAATGCTTGCTGAGTTTTGGGTTTTTTTCAGAATTTTCTATATATGTAACAACATTGTAGACCATTTTTTTGTTAGCTGTTGGGTCCATTTACATTTTTGCGGTGCATTAACATCCATTGCAAGCCACACCAAAACCTATGAAAAAATTGGCTGAGTTACACAGAATACACCATGGTGCATTGTCAACCGTTGCGAACCATTCTTCTTTAGGTTCTTTCCCTTTCTCTGCGTGGTTCCTGGGATTTTCCCAATTTGCCTTACAATCAGAAGATGCTTATGGGTCGCTGTTACTGGTATGACCAGGGGTAGGGTGTACAGAACAGCCACTTAATTCGGTGTGTTTACCCCCCCTAAACATTCAAGGCCCATTTGTATCTTTGTATTGTAGTATTGTGCATTACCGCAATGCGAGTTCCATTCCTTGCCGTTCATTTTGGAAGTCACCGTAATGACACAACACATTCTTTCAGAGGGGCGGCAGGGGCTGACGCACGTACGAAAGAGCCCTTGGGGGTGATTTATTTAAGGCAAACAGGCTGTTCACTTGGCAAAAAATTTTCTCTTTGCTTAGTGAATGTGGTAAAAATTCACTTTCCAGAGAATGCCCAATTACATGCAAGGGGAAAAGTATTTTTTCTTGCACATGATTGGCTATCAGAAATCATCAGAGCAAGGGAAAATTCCATTTCAAATTTCAAATTCCCTTGCAAAGTGAATAGCCTGTTTTCCTTTGGTAAATTGACCCCTTAGGGTAGGGGTGCCAAACTCCATTTCATCGTGGGCCATACCAGCATTATGGTTGCCCTCAAAGGGCCAGTTGTATCTGTAACACTAGATGTCCAGTGAACCTCACCCCCCATTACATCAGATGTCAAGAATACCACACCCTCCCTAACATCACCGTGCACCCCCTTTGGGGGCAGAGCTGGAAAGCAGAAAGTGCAGGGTCTGGAGGAGGACCAGAGGAGGAGTAGAGTCAGTTACCAGAGTCTGCTGAATGCTGAGACCAGGGGAGGCAGAGATGAGGATGTGCTGCAGCTGCACTGAGAGGTGCAGGATTTGGCAGATGAGTTCTTTTCTCCTCTCTGTTGCCAACTGCTGAGACAAGGTGGGGGAGGAGACAAGGGGGTACCTGCAGGAGAGGTGCAAGGGCCACATGAAATGGCCTGGAGGGCCAGATTCAGCCCACGGGCCTTGGGTTTGACACCTGTGCCTTAGGGTCTAAAGCTGGACCGCCATCATATGTATGTTTATAAAACTTTATATAAATACTACACATTAATATGGTGTGGGTACTTGCATTTAATTTATTTATATTGATCACCTGTTGTAGACTGAACACAGCTCAGACTTATCAGTGTTCTCATCTTCTTAGGAGCGGGATATAGAAAGGAAGAGAATCGAGGAGCTGATGGAGGAGAACATGTCTCTAGAAATGGCTCAGAAGCAAAGCATGGATGAGTCGTTACATCTTGGCTGGGAACTGGAACAACTGTCTAAAACCAGCGATCTCCCGGAAAGTATGTAGACTGTCTCTCTAGAGTTTTGTCCCTATTGTACACCGTTGTGGGCAAAATATTCAGCATATGCTTGTTTATTATTTTATGCCATCACCTGGCATACTATACTCTGCTATACTACCTCCATGCTCCATTCTAAATATTGAAGACGTCTTGGGAGGTTCCCTTTGAAACATGCTGAGTGCAATGAAGAGCAACATCTGTTTCTAAGACTTGTATGCACCCAGCTTTAGTTTTTTAAATTCTTACTTGTACCTGTAATACACAAGGCCTGTAAAAAAAAAAGTAAAGTAATAGCAGGCATAACTTTTTTTAATAAAGCAGAGTTCCCCACCCCCTCCTCAAAAAAAAAAATGCTGTAGCTGTTGACTTTTAATATTAGGACACTTACTTGTCCAGGCATCCAGCGGTGTCCTCACCCAAGCCGATTATTTAGTCGGCTATCGGGTGCTGGCACTGCCATCTTGACTAAGGGCAACCAGCAGTGCAGCCTTGCAGCTTCACAGTTGGTGCCGTACTGCTCATGAGCAAAGCGCACTATGCTTTGTGAATTGGCCTCAGACTTCTGGGACCTTTGGGGGACGAAGGGGGTTCCAAACTTGCTGCAGCGAACTGAGCAAGAATTGGGAGCAGGTACCTGTCAAATCCAGGTAACTGCTCCCCTCCAAAAGGTGACAAATGTGGCAGTGGAAAGGGGGAGGAGGCAAACAAGCGGAGCTTCCACTGTTGGATGGAGCTCTGCTTTAACTTACGTAGGTCGTTCAAATTTCAATTGTTGGCAGAGTCCTTCTTCCTCTATAGTCACTCTTCTATTTTGCATTTAAATAAGGTTTTCCAAACAGAAGCAATGTGCCATCATTGAGTTCTTGATGAAGGAGGGGTGCAGGCAGTCCAACATCCACAATAGAATACAGAATGTTTACAGAGGTGACACCATTGACCAGAGTCATCAATGACAAGACATTCCTGTTCTAATCTCTGTCATTCATGTTGTAATCTCCATAAACATTTTGTAGCCTTCTATGGATGTTGAACAGCCTGCACCCCTCCTTCATCGAGAGCTCAATGACAGCATGTTGGTTCTGCTTGGAATCCATTATTTCCCTGGGAAGAAGAGGAGTTACTATATAGGAAGACTTACTCTACCAACAAGGTTAGGGCACAGGCCCTCATTCATGCACATTGTACAGAACCGGGACAAGCGGTGGGTAGAAGGGGCGGCTGCCCTTGGCACAATGGTTTACTGTAGAAATGGGGCACCTTCTATCTGTTACAAGGCTGACAGGAGTAGTGGCAGTGATTATGACAAGCGAGTGACTGCTGGGCGTAGCATCCCCTAAGCTTGCACATCAGAGAGGTGGCGCAGTTTGGCATCCTTTCCCTGGGTGCTTGTTGACCTTGTCCCGGCACTGACGTTGTAGGGCTGGTCCATAACCTGCAAATCTAATTGGTGCTCCAGCTGTTTGTGGTGCAGGGGCGGACTGACCATTTGGAAACTCGGGCACTGCCCGAGGGCCCAGGGTCATTAGGGGGCCCCATGAGATGCCCCTGGTACCTTTTTCATAGGCTTTTTTGAGTTTGGGCAAGGACATAGGGGCCCCATGATCCCCTATTGCCCGGGGGCCCCATGAGTTGTCAGTCCACCCCTGTTGTGGTGGCCATGTGTGAAGCAGCCTTGGTCCTGTCTACAAGGTGCTTTGGAAAGGGGCAGATACCCGCTATAGAAGGATATGCTTTGTTCATTTTTCATTTCAGAGGTTTACAACCACTTTAACCTTTTAACCTTGAAAAATGTTCAGAAAGTTGAAAAAATAGGTCTACACATATATTTTTCCTTTATGGGTTAATGAATCATGAGATGATGTCACACATTTAAGATTTTACAAGATTTGTTTTTTATAGCAGAGTTTGTTGTAATTTATTTCTGCCAGGACCAGTATAAATGGTCTGTTTTATATATCTTTTATAGTAATTTGTGAAAGCAAGCTTTGAGATTAATCAGAAACAGTTTACACTATGTCTATTAAAGAAACTGGGCTTTGGATGAAATCTAAATCGCATGCCCTTTCTGTTTGTAAATGTTGTGTAGCACCACAGAAATCACTGGGACATGAAGTGAATGAGCTTACGTCCAGCCGGCTGCTCAAATTAGAGATGGAAAACCAAACTTTGCTGACCACAGTGGAAGAGTTGAAGAATGCCATGGGCTCCACGGAGGGTGCCAATTCCAAAATCCTGAAAATGGAAAAAGAAAACCAAAGACTAAGCAAGAAGGTAATGTGAATATTATGTGGTGGTTCTGAAACTCATTATGAAAATAATATGACATGTTCTTGGAAAAAAGATTGATACAATGTGGGAAACTTTTTGTTCACCTGACCATTACTGATATCCCTGGTGGTAGGTGTGTAGACAGGGCCAAGAGAACGTTGATGGATTGTTGCATCCCTGGGCACCACTAACAGGCCTATTTCCCAAGTTTCATGTGTGGGCCCTGCTCCCCAATACTCAGTTCACCAACATACACAGTGCCTTGACATGACATTTCACCTCGCTTCCTCCCTGGCTGAGCCAGATACCATTTCCAGAATAGGCCACCCACAAAATCGAGATGAGTTCAGCTGGTTTTCAACGCTTTATTTCCAGGGCAATACTGTACATGTTCTTACAAATTTCTATGGCGCCTGTCAGTTTTTTTCCCATAGCAGGCATCCTTTGTCCCTGTCCTTGTTGCTAGTCTTTTCTAGGGCACCAGGACCCAGGAATATACATTCCCCAGCTGGGCAATACCAGTTGCTTGAAGGGCTACATCAGTCTATGAAATGCCCCACTTCGTTCCATAGGGGCCAACTCTAATCTCTGTCTCCCCTCTTCTCAAAGTTTTCTGCCCAGACGCCTTTACTTTATACAGAACTCAATATACTGTATATGTAGCCTGAGGGGGGGTGCCACCTAGTGGCAAAACTATAAACTGTCCTAACACCTCCTTACAGGTACATATGGAAGGTCACAGGAGTCAAATATCTGCTCAACAGAACATGTTGGTCCCTGAAGCCCATAATATTTATCTAGTTAATGGTGGCCCTACACAGCCTTTGAGCTTTGTTAGAAAATAACAGTAGTAGTCAACTGGTGCTTGTTTCCTTTTCTTCCAAACAAGCTTTGTCTACATACATACCTTATCTGTTTGTCACTGGGTTGGGAAGGAAGATTGTGGTGGATTCCGATGGCTCACAATTCAAGTATGGCCATGGAGGCTTCTTACCGAGTTCCATTATCGATGACCAATTTCCTTTTCTATGCACTATTCATTCATATCCGCTCTATTGTATTTGTCTTGGAAGAGAAATCCCTTTTTGTTAAAAAAAAAACAAACCTGCAGTTTAAAATGACCGTCCATTTAGTCTGCAGCTAGTTATGAATTAGAAAAATGTATTTTAAATTCTCTTTCGTGCCGCTGTGGCTATGTGGCATTTTTTCATCTGTTTACAGAAATTGTATTGTAATTGTACTGTCTGCCATTATATTGTAAAGCACTATATAAATCCTGTATAATATTGGGCAGCACAGTGGCTAAATGGTTAGCACTTCCACCTGGCAGTACTAGGGTCCTTGGTTCAAAACCCAACCATGGCACCACCTGCCTGGAGTTTGCATGTTCTCCCTGTGCCTGTGTGGGTTTCCTTCAGGTTCTCCAGTTTCCTCCCACACTCCAAAGACATGCTGGTAGGTTAATTGGCTCCTGTCTAAATTGGCCCTAGTATGTGTATGTATGAATGTGAGTTAGGGACCTTAGATTGTACACCCCTTGAGGGTTTGGGACTGATGTGAATTTACAATATATATGTAAAGCGCTGCGTAAATTGACGGCGCTATATAAGTACCTGAAATAAATAATAATAATACAAACAGAACAGGATACTTTTTTATACAAGTACATGGTACAGTAGGCTCATGTCAGGAATATGAAATGTTGGGCTTTTTAATCTTCAAGACTGAGCAGGAGGCTTTGCAAACTATAAAAATGTGCTTCATTATAGGACTGCCTGAAAAACATTTTACAAGAATAATTCTTTTTTTTTTTTTTTCATAGCTGGAGATAATAGAAGCAGAGCTAATTCATGAGCGTCAGACCATTGAGAGCAGCCAACAAATGAGCGATGACCTTATGAAGGAAAAGTCGCAGCTGGAGAAGATCATAGAGACGCTGCGTGAGAACTCGGAGAGACAGGTATGATGGTGACGCTCCCAGTTCAGATGATGTCCTCGCTCGCACAGTGGTGTATGTAGGTTTTGTGTTGCCATAGGAAACACAAAAATCTACTGCCCCCCACCTCCACCACCAAACCAACTGCCCCCCCCCCCCCCTGCGGAGACAGCTTGACACCAGCCAACACCACCACCTCCCCCCAACCCGAGAAAGCCTTCCACTACCACCACCCTCCATACACCGGCCACCCCATCCCCCAGCGAGAGAGAAAGACACCTTCACAGCTCCAGACATCCCCTGGAATGAGAGTCAGGCTCTGCATACACCGTCAAGCAGCCCGCAGCCTCTCTCCGATCCCACCTGTTCCCCATGCTGCATGTGTCCCATCTTCTGTGCATTCTTCTGGGGGGGAGCAGTTCTGCCCCCCTGAAAAATGCTGCCCTAGGCAAATGCCTTGTTTGCCTTGTGGTAAATACACCCCTGCGCTCGCAGATGTCTCTCAAATTGAATGAAGGAGAAAAACATCATTTTACCTTCTTCCTGCAGACTGCCAACATCACTGCTAATGGGGCTTATTACTTTAGTTCTTCCTAATCTTGTTAATGATAAATGGACATTTATCACCCTCTTTAACAAATGCCATATGGCTTCCCTCAAGGGCTTAACTACTGTAAATGACCAAAGTCCCAATTGGCCGCCTCCTTCTAATGGGTGTTTAGACTTTCAAAGGAAATGCACGGTATTTTTTTACAGCGGCTGTTTTTTGGCTTTTGATGTTTTTTTCTACAGCCAGTAAACCCCCCCCGCATGTTATCGTATGTGACCATGCACACATAGACTGGAATCAATGTTTTTTGGCTGGAAAAAAAGCCCAGGACTAGTGGGTTTCTAGAGGAGTTTTGTATCTGTAAAAGCACTCTAACCGGCATTTTTGGACTTTTTGTGACCAAAAAATGTTTTTGGTAAAAAAAAAAAAATGCTAAAAAGCGCAAATGTGGAAACACTGCTAAACACTAATGTAAAAACGCTAAAAAAAAGCTAAAAAAACTCAGGTTTTTAACATGACTTTAGACAGCTAACACTACCAGCGTTATCAAAACACCCCGTGTGCTTGGAGCCTAATAGGGTAACCACAGCAGGTGAGACCCCATCAAATCAGTGGTCACCAGGAGACCTGCCTGTCTTTGCTCAGATCATGTAATACTTCCACCTATTTTGGGTGACATTACTGAGTAGCACATCCTTGAAATAAGCTTTTCTTTGTAAATGTGGTAAATCTCTACTTATTTCCATCATCCAATCAAGAAAAATGTTTTTGTTTTTTTTTTCTTTGCACTTGGTTATTCTTTACAAAGCGATGCTTTACCACATTACATATACTAAGAAAAATGAGTGAAACTGCACTTGCAAAGTGCACAGTCTATTTACCTATAGTAAATCATATCCCATGTGAACTTGTTACTGTTCCAAATACATTCTCAAAGCTTAAAGTGATAAAAAACAAGCCTTTAATAATGATAAACTTGTCATACTTACCTGTTCTGTGCAATGGTCTTGCACAGAGCAGCCCCGATCCTCTTTTTCTCAGGTCCCCCGCTTGCGCTCCTGGCTTCTCCCCCTTGACCAAAGCCCCAAATAGTAAGCCGCTTGCTATGGGGACACTGGTGCATGCTCACTCCCGAGCCCCTCTCTGAGTCTATAAGACACATAGAGCTAAGGCTCAAGCCGGCCCCCCTCTCTCTCTCCTCATTGGCTCAATGGCTGTGATTGACGACAGTGGGGACCAATGTCTTCTGCTGCTGTGTTTCAGCCAATGAGGAGAGAGAGACCTGGAACAGCCGAGGCTCCCGTAGACATCACTGGATCGAGAGGGGGCTCAGTTAAGTATTAGTAGGGCTGAGAGGGGGAGCAGCACACAGGTTTTCTACCTTCGTGATTAGAATGTATGAAGGTAAAAAAAAACCTTATGCCTTTTCAACCACTTTAAATTGGTTGTAAACCCTTACATATACCGAGTGCAGTGACCGCCCTCAGGTGATACACAGGGATGAAACAAATCTCCGTAAGTTGTAACTGGTTATCTGCAGCCCTTGCTCCTCTACAGCTGTTCAAAGTCCAGAATTTACACAGCATTTTCTGAGCTTTAGAAGGTAGGGGCTGAGATTTGACATCACACACAGCACAGCATAGAACAGAGAGCTGAGTGTAATCTGAGGCCTGAGTATAGGGAATGGACACATCCTCCCCCACCCATTGCACAGCTGAGACTGTCAATCACCTGCTGGAGGGGAAGCAGGGCCATCTCTCTTGGGATTGTCTAGAGGAGACAGAAATCCCACTAGGCGCTTTGGACAGAGGCAAGTACACACTATAGAAGGATATGATTTGTTCATTTTTCATCTGAGTTTTACAGCTACTGAGACACAAAACTGTAGCTTGTATTTTATGTTCTTTATACAGTCACCCTGAACGTCTCACCTTATGGTGAACACTATTCAAATCTACTAAAATCTCCAAATAAGTGAATAAATAATCCAGATATTGCTTAGTTAAAGTGTTACTCAACCTACAGCAGTAAAATCAGTCTATATATGCAGTAAAACATGCTTGTTATACTCACTGTGGAACCTAAGGTGGCTCTCAACCACAGCAGCATTGCAAAAGAAGAGGAAGTCAAGAGGAACATGGTTCCCCTATGGTTTCCTGGGTCACTGGGGAAAACAATCTGGTTGTATGCTGCCGCCCCATGCAACTCTGGTGGCCATCTTGGGTTAAGCAGAGTCTACTTAAGTCCCTGGCTTCCGGGTTTGGCATGCATCTCATGTATGGGTAGTGTAGGAACAGGTCACCCATCTGTCAGGGACAGTGAATAGCAGCGAGGAGAGGTTCCAGATGAGAAAGGATAGGGATACACCAATCTTCCTGGAAGCCTCTCCTTTTGGGAGCGGACTGGCCAGGCCTCATTCTGCCCCTCAAGACAGACGCTGTTGGTACACTTGAGACCTTCTCTGCTATACATCACTTTTACATCCCAGTTGGGTGCTTCCTGCCAGGCTTGTTGTGAACTTTAATACTAATACAAGTTTTGTTTCTGCAGCTGGACTCTGAGTGTTTACTGCCGCCACACCATGCTGCACCTCCCCACATGCTGATTCCAAAAAAAATTGGAAAAAATGTATTAATTCATTTAGTATTCATTGATTGATAAAATTGTTTTTTTTTCTTCTTGACTTGCAATTATTTTCAAAATATACAATGCTGCCCATTGAGCATTGAAAATGAAAATGAAAATGTGGAGACCCCTTTATTAAGGGATAAACTCTCCTAAAATGAAGCCTCAGTTTGCAATTTCTGCATTACAACTGTAAGCATTTTTAAACAAAATTTACCCAGAATTAACCCTATAAATTGTAATATTTGGGGCTGGTTTGCCAGTAATGCTTTCCTCATCAGTAATAGCATTAGAAATCGATGCATTACTTCAGATGTCGTCTGTTTCAGATTATTTTACTACTTCCCAGTTCCTGGAGAATGTTGACTTCGATAGACATATCAGTTTTGTCACAAGTTTTCTTTGTTTGTGAATCATGTATAAAATACAAATCATTTAGGACATATTAAAGTGGAGTTCCACCTGAAGAAAAAAAAAAAGTTAGATACAAAAACTGTAGTTGCTGACTCTTAAAATACAGACCCTTACCTGTCCCTCGGTCCAGCGGTGTCCTCACCACCGCTGGTTTCACTGGCTATCTTCTCTCCCTGGCGCCGCATTTTCAGTGTGGGTACCGGGTGCCCACCACGCATGTGTGAGAAGCGCTGCGCTTTGTGAATGGCCCCGTAGTGTTCTGGGACCTGTCACGTGTCCCAGAAGACTACGGGGAGGACAACTTCCACAGCGGAGGTGGATACGGGTACCTGTCAAATTCGGGTACCCCCTGCTCCCCAAAGTTGCCAATCTTTAATGGAGAGTGGGGGACAAAGGCTTAAAGTGGAACTTCTCCTTTTGGGCGGAGCCCTGCTTTAAGTGCAGATGTCACACAACCTGCGTCTTAGCAGCCAGCATAACGCCAGACTTGTGTTACGGTTCCTACCATGTTATAGATCTTCTTGTAGGAATTATCAACTTGCAAACATTTAGAAGTATTAGGATAGAGGCTTGTAATGCATGGGCAAGGGAAACTATATCCTATAATAGAACATGCTCATTTGTTGTGTTGCCATGCATTATGAAAACTTCTTGTGGGCTGCATTTGGGTGCCCTGACCTACATTTTGCTATACAATGCAACTCACATTGATACATATGAAGACCTCATAATACATGCATTTTAGCTGTAAACCCAGGATGATTGCCAGTGACAGATCCCATACGTCACCACTGTCTACCTCCTGAACAGGCCATATGGCCCTCCTAGAATCTTCTAAAAATCATCTTTATTGGAGAGAAAGTAATCCATGTAATACACAGGGCACCACACACGGGAAGGGGGATGGTAACATGTTTACACCATGAGGTCATGCGGAAGCACTAAACTAGTGTGAAATGTGTTAGCATCTCCTGCTCTCCCTCTTATGTGTGGTGTCCTATGTATAACGCCATCTGGATCTCTTTCTCAATATTCAGTTTTCCTGTTCAGTGTGGCAATGAGCCTTTTGGGGAGGAGATCAGGGGATTTCTCTACCCAGTCTTCATCTGTAGCATACAGATGACTATTTAGTCCCTTTATGTTACCAAAAATTAAAAACATACATCCTCAAAGGGCTTGATTGAGGATTGACTAGCTATCCTTTGATCTTTGTACAAGTCCTTGTCCTACATAAATTGGCAGCTATGCAATACAGATATTTTATTATACACACTGTAAAGCAACCATTCTCAACCTTTTTACCCTAAAGTAACCTCTTAAAACAATTTTAAGGGCTCAGGGAACCCTTGCTAAAATAAATTCATTGGAGGTCATTGGGAAAATGCCTCCTTAATTGATGGTCATTGTCAGGGGCTGACTGACAACTCATGGGGCCCCCCGGCAATAGGGGATCATGGGGCCCCTGTGTCCTTGCCCAAACTCACAAAAGCCTATGTAAAAGGTACCAGGGGCATCTTATGGAGCCCCCTACTGACCCCGGGCCCTTGGGCAGCGCCCGAGTTTCCAAATGGTCAGTCCGCCCCTGTTCATTGTGAAGAATGCCCTCTTTACAGACAGCTAAATAGATCATAGGGGTGATGTCCCTGGCTCTGCCAAGTAGCATTAGACCCAGAACTATGTAGACACCATGACATAAGAGGTTTGTAATCTACAACTCAAGGAACCCTAGGATTCCATGGAACCCTGGTTGAGAATGGTTGCTATAAAAATTTGATGAATATGCTAGCTATAGAGCATATGGGGGGCATTTTTATAAAGCATTGAATGTAACTTTCAACCAGGGGCGGACTGACCATTTGGAAACTTGGGCAGTGCCCGAGGGCCTGGGGTCAGTAGGGGGCCCCATGAGATGCCCCTGGTACCTTTTTCATAGTCTTTTTTGAGTTTGGGCAAGGACACAGGGGCCCCATGATCCTCTATTGCCCGGGGGCCCCATGAGTTGTCAGCCTGCCCCTGCTTTCAACAAACATTTACTGGTGGTGACTCCATCACTCTCAATCACACGCTCCATGAATGTCAAATTCGCTGCTTTATAAATATGCCTCCTAGAGTTTTTGTTTCTAAAGTATGTCTAAACGTATATTAGACTTTGAAGTATTATAAACATGTTTTAATGACAATGTAATTTAAATAATATTCTTTCTGTTTTTGTCTGCAAGATCAAAGGGCTGGAGCAAGAAAATGAGCATTTGAACCAAACCATCACATCCCTGAGGCAACGTTCTCAGATTGGTGCTGAAGCCAGGGTGAAGGATATAGAAAAGGAGAATAAGATCTTGCATGAGTCCATCAAAGAAACAAGCAGTAAACTAAATAAGGTGGAGTTTGAGAAAAAACAGCTCAGAAAAGAACTAGAACATTTTAAGAAAAAGGAGAAAGAGCTGAGGACCTGGAAAAGGAACTGCATCGGGTGGAAAAAGAAAATGAACAGCTGCAGAAGAAGATCACCAGCTTAAACATTGTCTGTGAAAAGGCAGAGTCCTTGGAACAAGAAAATATCGGGTTAGAAATAGAAAACCGTAAGCTGAAGAAAACCTTAGATAGTCTCAAAAATCTTAAGTATCAAATGGAATCATTGGAGAAAGAGAACACGCAGCTTGAAGAAGAGAACTTGGACCTAAGACGGATGGTTGAGTCACTAAAGAGCACAAATATTAGGGTAGCTCAGCTGGAGCTAGAAAACAAAGAGCTGGAAAATGAGAAAGAGCAACTAAAGAAAGGCATGGACCTCATGAGAGCATCTTGTAAGAAAACTGAGCGTTTAGAAGTCAGTTACCAAGGGCTCGACACGGAGAACCAAAGGCTACAAAAGGCTCTGGAAAATAGCAACAAAAAGATCCAGCAGCTTGAAACTGAACTTCAGGAGCTGGAGACAGAAAATCAGACTTTGCAGAAGAACCTGGAAGAGCTGAAAATCTCTAGCAAGAGACTGGAACAGCTGGAAAAGGAAACTAAGCTTTTGGAGCAGGAGACCTGTCAGCTGGAAAAGGACAAGAAGCAACTTGAGAAGGAGAACAAGAGGCTACGCCAGCAGGTTGAGATTAAAGACATTACGTTGGAGGAGAATAATGTGAAGATCTCAAATTTAGAGAGGGAAAATAAATTACTTTCAAAAGAGACAAATGCATTTAAAGAGTCCTATTCAAGGCTTAAAGAACTAGAAAAAGACAACAAGGAACTTGTAAAAAGAGCAACAATAGATAAGAAAACACTAATCACGCTAAGAGAGGTAAGCCATTGATATACAATTATTTTACACTGTGGACATCTCAAGCCCAGGGGTGGACTGACCATTTGGAAACTCGGGCACTGCCGAGGGCCCGGGGTCAGTAGGGGGCCCCATGAGATGCCCCTGGTACCTTTTTCATAGGCTTTTTTGAGCTTCGGCAAGGACACGGGCCCCATGATCCCCTATTGCCCGGGGGCCCCATGAGTTGTCAGTCCGCCCCTGCATAGGTCATAACCCATCAACGCTCCCTTGTCTGTAAGCACTTGTTTTAATACTTTGTATTCTGTACTATTTTAGGAAAAATGTTTTGTCTATTGAAACAATAGCAATAAAAACCAACAGTGGTGCTAACCCAGGGGTGGACAGACCATTTGGAAAAACTCGGGGCACTAGGCTTTTTTTGAGTTTGGGCAAGGACACAGGGGCCCCATGATCCCCTATTGCCCCGGGGCCCCATGAGTTGTCAGTCCGCCCCTGCCAAGCCGGCCATAGAGGAAGCGATTTTCTTTCTTTTTCTTTTACGGAGGGTTGCAGGAAAAAAAAGTGTTCAATTCCCCCATCAACACAGTCAGTGCCACAGAGCCATCGTGTTCTCCCGGCAGGGGGAGCTGTCCCTGCTGGTAGAACACAATGATTACCACTAGCGGTTATAATAGCCGCTATCAATATTCACATGTAAAATCCATGGGCCAATCACTATATGTCGGGTCAATTTAGTCGCAGCCGCGGCATTAAACAAATCCCTCCACTGCCTATTGCAGCTTAACAATTCGGGGCCTCCTGGCCTTTTAAGGGGTTTGTAATGCTGGGAGGCAGGGGTGGGGTTTAGGGCTGATTGGCTGTTACGGAGGTCACATGATCAGAAAGCTCCCACCGCAAGTAGTGATTAGGACCTTTCCTTGAGGTGCCGGTGAATGTGCCGGGGGCTCTTGGCACTAGGGTTGCCACCTCATTCCTTTAAAGCTGAACACAAATAATTACACAGGTTATGAGGCTAATTTATTGCAGATAAGACACTAAGTGAGTTTAATGACCACCTTTATCAGCCACAGAACCTGTATAATTAATATGTGTTCAGCTTTAAAGGAATGACATGGCAACCCTACTTAGCATATCCTTTGTTTAGTTCGGGTAAGCAAATACGGGGACCCTTGGTGCCAAGGCCCAGCCACTGAGAGCATGCTCAATTGAGTTGGGGGGGGGGGGGGGGTTGACAGACGACAAAAGCACAGCTCAACCGCACATTTTTGCTGCCCACCAACTGCAAGTCTAAACGAGCCCTTATTGTTGTATTTTACTGTTTGGGCATGGAAGGTTTTGGCGGAGCTTAGCGGACCTGGTCGTGAAAAATGTTGAGAGCCCTCGCTGTATGCAGCTTTGCCCATTCATGCTGAAATCTGACTTTGATGCTATTTTCATACTGAACGCCCAGCCGCTATACCATCTTCTGTGTGTGGTTTTTATTTCTACAAATAGCGAGGGGAAATCCTGGGTTGAAAAGAACACCAAGCTTTGTGGTGGATTCTGAGAGGATCGCGTTTCCTCTTTCAACCAGAGAATGTTTTTTTTTTTTCGAGGAAGGAAGGGAGACAACTGATGTCACGTTCCATTATCTGCAGTGCCAGTTCAGATGCAGCTGTTCTGATATTTTGTCTTTGTCAAACCATTCGGCGCTCCCCACGTGGCCTTCAGAGGAAAATTTCACAGGATGTTTTGTAGAAAATCACCACTCTGTCAATGTTAGGAGGAAAACCAGGTCATGTATTGTTTCATTAATTGGAGTCTACGTAAAGCCAGAACTTTTTTCTTTGATTGACTGTAAAAGGATTAGAACCCATTTCAGGTTTAGTTGCTGTCTGTGTTCTCTTCCAAAGGTCATACTTCTCGAAAAAAAAAATTCATTTTAATGCACTTAAGAAAAAAAAAATCACACTGGTTTTAGATTTTTACCCACCAGCAGGAACATGGTGGTTGGTGGTACGCAGTTCCTGCACCTCCAGAACTGAATGTGTATACTGGGAAGGGGTGCTGAGATGTGCTGGAGGGCCTATTGATCCTGGCTGCTGGGGCATCTATTGTTGCTGGGGAGGATGGGATTTCAGCTGGTGAAGGATCTATTGTTGCTGGGGGATATTTGGTTGCCAGGAGGGTCTATTGTTGCTGGGGGTCTATTGCAGTCTGCTGGAGGAGAATATATTGTTGCTGGGAGGCAGTATATTTTTGTTGGGGGAGATCTATTGTTGTTTGAGTGATCTATTTTTTTTCTGGGGATGATCTTTTTGTGTATGAGAGAGATCTGTTGCTGGGCAAGATCTGTTGTTGCTGGGGATATCTGTTGTTTCTGGGTAGGTCTATCGTTTCTGGGGATGATCTTTTTTTTTTTTTTTTTAGAGAGATCTGTTGTTGGGTGAGATCTGTTGTTCCTGGGGAAGCTGTTGGGCGAGATCTGTTGTTGCTGGGGGGAGCTGTTGGGCGAGATCTGTTGATGCTGGAGGGAGCTGTTGTTGGGTGAGATCTGTTGTTGTTGAATTGGATCTTTTGTTACTGAGTACGTCTATTGTTGCTGGGATGATCTTTTGTTTTTGAGCAAGATCTGTTGTTGGGTGAGATCTTTTGTTGCTGGGGGGGTCTACACTTGCAGTAGGGTCTGTTGTAGCTGGTGGGGGATCTATTGTTGCTGTCTGCTGGATAGAATCTATTGTTGCTGGTTAGGGGATATTTTGTTGTTGGGGGGAGATCTATTGTTGTTTGAAGGATCTATTATTTCTGGGGATGATCTTTTGTTTTTTAGAGAGATTTGTTGTTACTGGGGGGGGGGGGGGGGTCTGTCGTTGCTGGGGGAATCTATTGTTACTGCTTTCCTTGTTATCCATAACAAACTTTATCCAAATTACTTAACACTACAAAATGCTTTCTTCTGTATTCTCTAAAAGGGGCCGGTACTGGGAGGTGGGTAAGTGGGAGAGACAAGGGATAGGTGGGGGGTAGGGGAGATTACCTTTACCTATTCTCTGAGATAACAATTGTGGTATACGGGGAATACATGGTCCAGCCTTCTGCCTGCCTTTCTACCACCTCCCTGTAGTATCCACTTACCAGAACTCAGTTCTTTCATTAACCTTCGTAATGAAATGACTATTGATTGACTTGGGGTTTTTTTTTTTCTTTGCTAATTTTTAGGACTTGGTAAATGAGAAGCTGAAGACCCAACAAACCAATAATGAGCTGGAAAAACTAAGCCATGAGCTGGAAAAGATAGGTCTAAATAAAGAGCGTCTCTTACATGATGATGAGCAGACCAGTGATGACAGGTGAGTAGAAGACTTACTGCAATGTGTTAACTGTTTCTAGGATTGTCCCTAACTACAGTCTGGACACATGGGCAAAGTGCATATTGAGAGGAAAGAACACATAAACTATATTGCCAAAAGTATTGGGACGCCTGCCTTTACACGCACATGAACTTTAATGGCATCCCAGTCTTAGTCCGTAGGGTTCAATATTGAGTTGGCCCAGCCCTTTGCAGCTATAACAGCTTCAACTCTTCTGGGAAGGCCGTCCACAAGGTTTAGGAGGGTGTTTATGGGAAGGTTTGACCATTCTTCCAGAAGCACATTTGTCAGGTCAGGCACTGATGTCGGGGGAGGAGGCCTGGCTCGCAGTCTCCATTCTAATTCATCATAAAGGTGTTCTATTGGGTTGAGGTCAGGCCAGTCAAGTTCCTCCACCCCAAACTCGCTCATCCATGTCCTTATGGACCTTGTTTTGTGCATTGGTGCGCAGTTATGTTGTAACAGGAAGGGGCCATCTTCAAACTCTTTCCACAAAGTCGGGAGCATGAAATTGTCCAAAATGTCTTGGTATGCTGATTCCTTAAGAGTTCCCTTCACTGGAACTAGGGGGTCAAGCCCAACCCCTACCCAACCCCTACAAAAACAACCCCACACCATAATCCCCCCTCCACCAAACTTTACACTTGGCACAGTGCAGTCAGGTAAGTACCATTCTCTTGGCAGCCGCCAAACCCAGACACATCCAACGGATGGACAGACAGAGAAGCGTGATTCGTCACTCCAGAGAACACGTCTCCAATGAGTCTAGTGGTGGCATGCTTTACACCACTACAGCCGACGGTTTGGATTGCACTTGGTGATGTAAGGCTTGGATGCAGCTGCTCGGCCATGGGAACCCATTCCATGAAGCTCTCTACGCACTGTTGTTGTGCTAATCTGAAGGCCACATAAAGTTTGGACGTCTTTAGCTATTGACTCTGCAGACAGTTGGTGACTTCTGCGCACTGTGCGCTTCAGCATGCGCTGACCCCGCCCTGTCATTTTACGTGGCCTAGCACTTGGTGGCTGAGTTTCTGTTGTTCCCAGTTGCTTCTACTTTGTTATAATCCCACTAACAGTTGAGCGTGGAATATTTAGTAGCCAGGAAATGTCACGGATGGACTTATTGCACAGGTGACAACCTATCACGGGACCACGCTTGGAGTCACTGAGCTCCTGAGAGCGACCCATTCTTTCACCAATGTTTGTAGAAGCAGTCTGCATGCCTAGGTGATGATTTTATACACCTCTGGCCATGGAGGTGATTGGAACACCTGAATCCAATGATATGGAGTGCTGGCCCAGTACTTTTGCAATATAGTGTAGTTAGTGATATTTTCTATGTGTCCAGATTTTAGGGACACCCTCTATAGTGTCCAAACGTCTACTATCCCTGGTTACTACTCACTTTGTAAGCTGCTGCCTTCAACCACAGTTCTGCTTCTTCTTTTTCCACCTGTGTGTAATAGGTGTATAACCCAAGAAGGGAAGATGTTGACTAAAAGATGGTTATCAATAATGACTAGATTTAAAAAGTACATATAATGCTTTATTGCTGTTATAATGATTATATGGCTGCTATCCTAAACCAAACCCCCTTCTGTGACTTTTCACCTTGCATTCTAGTAAGTTGTCCTGCCTGTAGATAGGACAATTAAGTGGTGGGTTGTTGGTACGCCAACACTACTGTTGTTAAAAAGTGCAGCACTATAATACATAAATGGTGAATAATAGAAAAATAAATGTTCTCTATAAGTGTCCATGTATGAGAACAAACAATCAAAAGGTGCAATCAAGAAATAAGGTTCATGAATCTCAAGTGTCCATGTTACACAATAAATCCGAAATCGATACATAAAACTCCAAAAATGGACTGCACACAAATATTGGCACCCTCAATTTAATATTGAGTAGCCCACCCCTTTGGAAAAAAATAACAGAAATCAGTCGCTTCTTGTAACCATCAATGATTTTCTTACATCTCTCTACTGGAATTTTGGACCACTCCAGGTCTCTCAGATTGGAAGGGTTCCTTTTCCCAACTGTTGTTTTGAGATCTCTCCACAGGTACTCTATGGGTTTGACATCTGGACTCATAGCTGGCCAGTTCAGTACACTCCAGCGCTTTGTATGAAACCATCATTGTGTTCTGCCAGCCGAGAAGGCTCCCCGCCGGCAGAACACAATAGCACTGCAGGAGAGATTCAACCCATCAACACGTAATGTGTTGAAGAGGGAATCAAGATATGTTCTTTCGTCCCACCCATGGTGGAAGGAAAGAAATCAAATCATCTATGGCCTGCTTTAGATAATTGAACGAATGTTCCAAAAATGTTCTAACCAAAATCTACAAAGGCAAGTCCAGCTTTATACTGGCACTTCCAAAGCATGCAGGAATATTGAAGAGCTACAGCCCTAAAGCCACATACAAGGCTGCCTTGCTTCATGGTCTTTTTTGAGTAAAATCATAGAGGGTATTTGGCATTATTTGTAGTCGGTTAATGAGATTAGTCATTGGTATTGTGGACAACCATGAGGGAATTATCAACGGAGTCACAGTTTGACAGACTCCAACAGTATAAACAGAATTACGCAACAAGCCATAGATCGGTTTCTTTGAAGAGCAGAACGGCCCCAAGGACAGATCTACAGGTTATCACTCATACATGCCCCCTAGCAAACCCACCATTCAGAAAACAGAAGTAGAACAGAATACAGTCTTTGTTTAAAAAGAAAGGTGAAATGAAAGAACCGTGTTGTAAAAGCTTTGAACGGGGTTTAAATCCAATACAGCCAGAGAGGTATGCAATGAACAGCTGTTACTAGTGGATAATTATTTGATCGCTGTTAGAATTCACACATATATCACTTCAGTTCTGGGAGGATGGTTTGACAATTTTAGAAAAAGTAGCAAAAATATAAGCTTGAATTTCGTAGATGTCAGATACAAAACAATCAGCGCACAATACAGCTGAATGGACATTGATCACGGGTCTATGGGCAGTATGCATTTGGTCTAGAGAGCCCCTAGCTGACCAATTTCAGGGAAAAATCAAGGGGGCAGGGGATTGCCATCCGATTGGCAGTGCTCTTCTGAGATGAAGCTTGCACTTGGGGGTGCCTGCACACTCAGCTAACAGGAGCAGATCTGTTTATGGCTTTATTGTTCCTATTATGACAGTGTGGCGATCTGTCACCCTGGATTCTCAACAAGGCAGGTTGAGGGGCTCCAGGGTAAAGGTTTGATATGGAGGAAAGTGGCTTTTCACTTTCCTCCTTTTGTTTGTAAGGTCCATTTTGGGAGCTGGAGCCTGGAGATTTCGAAGCGATTTGGGAGGGATGAAATCTCCAATCCTGGGACCAGGTTTTGGAAATAGCCAGGATACTGATTGCACAGGTGTGTGCGGGCCTTTTCATAGAGTCAGGACCAGGTTCTGGGCTCCACCCCGGCAGACAGAGTCAGGAGGGCTCCACCCCGGCAGACAGGAGGTATCTGCCTTGGAGTCAGGTGGGCTTCACCAAGGAGAGGTGGAAGCCAGACTAGCTGTGTGCTAGTGGCCAGCTGTGTGCAAGGGCCATAATTTGGGAAGAGTCTGCAGGAGACAGACATTGACCTGTGTACAAGCCAGGAGGCTGAATCTTTGTTGGTATTGCTTGATGGTGGATACCCCTGCGTGGGAAGCATTTTTTGTTGAACTTTTTCTTTAAAATAAAATTGGGCCAAAAGGCCCTTAAAGAAGCGAGTTGCTGTGTGCTTAAACAAGAAAAGCTCTACCATTTTGAAGCGAGTTCCCACCCTATGAACAGTCCTGTTGTCATGCTGAATCCATTTCATTACAGTTATTTCTATAGCACTGACAATTTACTCAACAATTTACATACTGTATATGTATTGTACATTCACATCAGTCGCTGCCCTTGAGGAACTTAAAATCTAAAGCCTGGTTCACACCTATGCAGTTTGCTTTTGATCAGGGGGCAGACTGACAACCCATGGGGCCCCCGGGCAATAGGGGATCATGGGGCCCCTGTGTCCTTGCCCAAACTCAAAAAAAGCCTATGAAAAAAGGTACCAGGGGCATCTCATGGGGCCCCCTACTGACCCCGGGCCCTCGGGCAGTGCCCAAGTTTCCAAATGGTCTGTCCGCCCCTGCTTTTGATCCATTTCTGCAGGGCTTTTTATGGTGCATTTTGTGTTTTTGCATGTGTGAATTTCTGATGCGTTTTGGATTTTCTTTATGCTTTGTTTGGCCAGTTTGTTATTGGGCAGATTAAAAAAAATGCAAATCACGTAAAAAACGCATCAAAAGTGCACTACATGTTGAAGTCTATTGCACAAAAAACTCACCAGTTTGCGGTTAAAAAAAGTCTCTGACCCTTTCCAAAACCGCAGCAGCTGAAAAAAGCATAGATGTGAATGTGTCCCATAGGAAACCATGTTAAATGGCCTATAGTGCATTTCTGCAAACAGCACTAAAGAACTCACAGGTGTGAACCCTAACTCCCATTCATACATACTCATACTAGAGCCAATTTAAAGAGGAGCCTATTAACCTACCAACATGTCTTTGGAGTGTGGCAGAAAATCAGAGTACCTGAAGGAGGGTTTCCTTACGTGGGTGGGTTACGCAGGCACAGGGAGAACATGCAAACTCCAGACAGTTTGGGACATGGTTGGGATTCAAACCGATGACCCCAGTGCTGCCTGGCGGAATTGCTAACTACTAAGCCACTGTGCTGCCTTATTGATGTATGGAGTTGATTTACTTAAGGCAAATAGTCTTTTTACTTTGCAAGCCAAGTTGCACTTTGCAAAGAGGTAAAGTTTAATTTTTCAAAGAGGACCTAGTGTGCAAGAATAATAATGAAAAAAAAACATTACAAAACCCAGCATTTTTAGTTGCACACAGGGGCAAACTGACAACTCATGAGGCTCCCGGGCAATTGGGGATCCTGGGGCCACTGTGTCCTTGCCCAAACTCAAAATACACCCAAAAAAGCCTATAAAAGGTACCAGGGGCATTTTATGGGGCCCCCTACTGACCTTGGGCCCTCGGGCAGTGCCTGAGTGCTCGAATGGTCAGTCCGCCCCTGGTTGCACACAATTGGATGATGGAAGCAGAGCTTTACCTCATTCATTAAGCTTTAGGGTAAATTCCCTTGCAAAATGAACAGTCTATTTGTCTTTAGTAACTCAACCCCATGGTGTCTGTGGAGGGTATTTTGATGTTGAAATCATGTTTGAAACTGAAATAATTCACCTGCATAAAATGTCAGACTTTCCCGGTGCCCAGTCATAGAATCTTTGCTCTGTTGCTGTCAGGGGCGGACTGACAACTCATGGGGCCCCCGGGCAATAGGGGATCATGGGGCCCCTGTGTCCTTGCCCAAACTCAAAAAAGCCTATGAAAAAGGTACCAGGGGCATCTCATGGGGCCCCCTACTGACCCCGGGCCCTTGGGCAGTGCCCGAGTTTCCAAATGGTCAGTCCGCCCCTGGTTGCTGTACAATGCCACCCCTATGTCGTCACAGGACAGAGTAGGCTAGAGAGAAAATCTGTTGTGATAAGACAGTCCAATCTGAGATGAGAAAAAAACACATTTGAGTTCAAGCCTAACTCCAGGCAGAGTGCCATAAGGGTCCTTGTTGATGGGTTTTTGTTCCATCAGATCAGCTGGTTTTTTTTTGCATCAGATTGGTTTTTGTTGTATCAGAAGGGTTTTGCATTCCTACACGAGTCTATAGGAATGCAAAACCAATTGAAGGTGGACAAATGCAGGTCAGAAGGAGGTCAACTGCAGGTGGAATGCAGCTGCATCTGCCTGTCCATTCTGAATCATCTCACAAGCATCTTAAACCAATGCCAAAAAAGCAATCTCAAACTCCTTCAGGTCCTAAAAGTCCTGGAATTAATTCACTGTGTATTTTTTTTATTTTTAGACTTCATAAGTATGGATCTACAACATATAATTTAATTTTCAGAATGATTACGGAGCTGGGAGACCTGCCAAATGTGCAGGTAGCTTGGAAAAGTCAATTTATGACATTTATTATGGCAATTTGTGCAACTTTGTTATGGTTTTTGTATTCAACTTTTGTAAACTTGTAAAATTTATTGAACTAGAAAAAAAAAGATTGTTGGCCTTCTCTCCAGAGCTTGATATAGTCTTCGTGTTTTCAGCCTGTTTGCTTGCCATTGCAGCAGTTGGGTCACATTAAGCTCTATGAGCTTCTTTCTTGACGATGGAGACACCAGACCTAAGACAAACTTGAAATAATTCATTCAATTGCGTCCCACAAGGGGATGGTAACATCATTGCTAGAAGGCTCTAAACAAGAAGTCCTATTTTAAAAACCATTCCAGTATAACGGGCACTTGCTTGAACTGCTGGAGCTAGCTAGCTAAGCCGCAAATCATTATCAATACTCGAAAGGTCGGTAATTCTTTTATTAAAGTAAAACTTTCAGTATTAGAGGTGAGCTGTCATTTTTTTTATGCCTTTTAGTCATTAAAAGCAGTTAATGAAGACATTTTTCTATGTCCTCACAACAGATATAAGCTTTTGGAATCCAAATTAGAATCTACGTTGAAAAAGTCTCTGGAAATAAAGGAGGAAAAAATTGCCTCGCTTGAAGCTCGATTAGAGGAATCGACTAATTTCAATCAACAACTACGCCAAGAACTAAAAACTGTGAGTTATTTTTATGCCATAAAGATTAATTTCTCTAACAGCTCTACTCTTCAGGAAGGCTCCATTGTAGTGCATGAACGGACGTAGCTCCTGCTCAGATGATCTCCAACTTCACAAGTGTTATATGTGACCCATACCGTGCCACCCTGTGTTGAAATCAGTTGTCACCGAGACTTGAAACTCAGGGAAAGGTAGACACAGCTGCAAATGCCCATCTACTTTACTGAAAGGGGTGTTTTATTGCTCTTTGTAGAAGAAGATAGCGACAAGATTTTATCAATAGCCCAGAGAACTTTAATTTCTCTTAGTAGCCCTTTAAAAACAGCCAACACATTTAGGGGGATCCAAGGACCCCCTTTTATCAGGGCTTTATAAATCTGAACTGAAAAGGAGGTCTAGCCAAAAATGTTTGGAAATCCTGCTAAACCCGTAACGGAAAAAGACCATATTATGTTTTGAAAACTAAGAATCCAGGGTATTGTATGAACATATGTGTATGCACTATCTATTACAATTTTCTAATTTTTCATAGGTGAAGAAGAATTACGAAGCTCTTAAGCAGAGACAAGAGGAGGAGAAGTTGACGCAGAGCTCACTTCCTAAGCTTGGAGAGGACAGCGTTCCCATCAATAAATGGGAGCGGGAGAGCCAGGAGACCACGAGGGAGTTGCTGAAGATCAAAGATCGCCTGATAGAAGTAGAGAGAAATGTAAGCCGGCTATTGGATGAAAAAAATGAACCTGTACTGAGAGAAACATGGAAGACGCTTTTGCTGAGTAAAAGCTATTACTTGGCTATCTGTCATACTGATCCTCTAGTTCAGTGGTCTCAACTGCGGCAGAGGGGCCAGATGTAGACCTTTCCTTGCCGTTATCTGGCTATCATGGCTTTCAGAATACTTGAACGTTTCCTGTGTTTGGGAACTTTCTGCCCAGTTCCTTCGACAAGAGACAATTGAAAATTCAATTTCTGTCAAGGCAGGTGGTCCCAACAGGGCCACTGTTGACTGAATTTTGGCTCATTCAGCAGGAATTACCATAAATTCAATCCATGTGTAGCCAACTTTAGTAAATCCTCAGATACAGGCATATTCTAGAAGGTTTCTTTAAATGGTCAACGTAGAGGAAAGCAAGATTTTGGAGGCAGAAAGGAAGACTTTTTTGTTTTGTTCTTTTCTTCCAGAAGTTTATAGAAAATAAAAAATGTAACTTTTATACAACTGGCTCTACTCTATGGTGTGCCAGTTCTGCACTGTTTATTATCCATGTACATAAAATGGGGTGTCTATGTTGCACTGAGCACTGCTACACCCAGTGTATTATATGGTGACTGCACATCTTATCTTATTGATGGCCTAATTTTTGTTTTTCTTTAGAATGCTACTCTGCAGGCAGAAAAGCAAGCACTGAAAACTCAGCTGAAACAAATGGAAACTCAAAACGACAACTTACAAGCACAAATTCTGACTCTTCAAAAGCAAACTATTTCGCTGCAGGAGCAAAACACAACTCTACAGACACAAAATGCCAAACTGCAGGTAACTCAGAATTGGAGAAATCATAGGAAATCTTATTACCTGGAAGTATGTCTTTGAAAATTTTTTTGTTTCAATTTAAATTCCAAATCAAAGTCAACACAGTGGCTTAGTGGTTTGCTGCCCTGCAGCTCTGAGGTCCACATTTCGAACTGCAGGCAGGACACTATCTGCATGTTCTCCCTGTGCCTGCATCGGTTTCCTGTAGGTACTTTGGTTTGCTCCAACATTTCAAAGACATGCTGGTAGGTTCATTGACTCCTGTCTGTATTGGCCGTGGTATGTATGTGCATGCATATCAGGTAGGGATCTTAGATTGTAATCTAGATGTAAATGTACAAAATATGTATATATTGCAATATTGCATCATATATAATATATTACATGTGTGTGTGTATATGTATATATATATATATATATATATATATATATATATATGTGTTTGTGTATATATATATATATATATATATATGTCTATGTACAAACTGCTGCATACATCATCAACATTTATTAGTACCTGTAATAAAGAAAATAAACCTACAAGGATGGAAGTGTAGCCAAGGTTTTTTTTCGGCGGGAATGTGGGGTAACTCAGTTCAGGCACCTCCAGCACTGAATGTATGTATTGGAAAGGGAAAATTGGATGTGATGGAGGGTCTATTTTTGATGGCTACTGGGGGTTCTATTGTCATTGGGAGGGATCTATTGTTGCTGGGAAGGTCTATTGTTGCAGGTGGGAATCTATTGTTTTTGGGGGGTCTTATATTGCTTGCATGGATCTTTTGTTGAGAGAGGGTTCTATTGTTGGTGGCTGCTGGAGGGTCTATTGTTGGTGGCTGCTGGAGGGTCTATTGTTGGTGGCTGCTGGCTGGTCTATTGTTGGTGGCTGCTGGCGGGTCTATTGTTGGTGGCTGCTGGCGGGTCTATTGTTGGTGGCTGCTGGAGGGTCTATTGTTGGTGGCTGCTGGAGGGTCTATTGTTGGTGGCTGCTGGAGGGTTTTTTGTTGGTAGCTGCCGGCTGGTCTATTGTTGGTGGCTGCCGGCTGGTCTATTGTTGGTGGCTGCTGGAGGGTCTATTGTTGGTGGCTGCTGGAGGGTCTATTGTTGGTGCCTGCTGGAGGGTCTATTGTTGGTGCCTGCTGGAGGGTCTATTGTTGATGCCTGCTGGAGGGTCTATTGTTGGTGGCTGCTGGCTGGTCTATTGTTGGTGGCTGCTGGCTGGTCTATTGTTGGTGCCTGCTGGAGGGTCTATTGTTGGTGGCTGCTGGAGGGTCTATTGTTGGTGGCTGCTGGAGGGTCTATTGTTGGTGCATGCTGGAGGGTCTATTGTTGGTGCATGCTGGAGGGTCTATTGTTGGTGGCTGCTGGAGGGTCTATTGTTGGTGGCTGCTGGAGGGTCTATTGTTGGTGGCTGCTGGAGGGTCTATTGTTGGTGGCTGCTGGAGGGTCTATTGTTGGTGGCTGCTGGAGGGTCTATTGTTGATGTCTGCGCGAGGGTCTATTGTTGGTGGCTGCTGGAGGGTCTATTGTTGATGTCTGCGCGAGGGTCTATTGATGCTCGCTGATGGAAGATCTATTATTGCTGGTGTAGATCTGTCATTACTAGGGGGGTATTTCATTGTGGGGGGGCTATTTTTGCTGGGGGAATCTAGTGTTCCTGGCTGCAAAGGAAGTTTTGTTCTGCTTTTCTTATCGAAAAATTCCATACAAATTACTTAGCACCACAAAATGAACGGTTCCGTATTCTCTAAAAGGTGTAGTACTGGGATGTGGGTGGGGGGTGGAACCCAAGGGATGGTGCTCAGAGGTAGGTAGGGGGGCAGGAACAAGGGGTGACTCGAAAGGGAGGAGTACCTGCACCTATTTTCTGAGGACAAAAAGCCCTGAATGTAACTACTAGTTAGTTTATATCTGAAGGTGCAGTTTGCAAGTCTTTCATCTTGATTCTAGCTATACCTACCTGTTATGTTACTAAACTGAAACAAGCATACAGCCAGTGAAGTCTGAAAAGGTTTGATTTCATGTTACATAACTTAAAAGAGAAGTTTGTGTTTAAAAAAAAAAAAAACATTTATACTCACCTAGGTGGATGCAGCATTGCTCCCATGCTTCATCTGTCTCCACCGCCTCAAAGGCTGAGAAATGAGTGGCCAAAGACCACTGATCGCTCAGCTCTTGGTCTTCAGTCTGCAAAGAGCTGTGACTGTCAGGCCTCAGTTCTCTGCTCTGCAACCCCCCCAGCAGTCACTGGGGGGGTTGCAGAGCACAGTGTGCTGAGAGGATGAGCAAGCTGCTGGTCCAGGCATCTGGGTGGATCGTCGGGACTCTAAAGTTGGGTTCTTTCTAGAGCCTGGACTAGATGAGTGACTTCAGCCAAACAGTGGGCTTTAGCCCTACTTCTCCTTTAATAGTGAGCCATGGTTGGAATGACAGCCCTGCAAACTGCACCTATGGTCTTGGTCACGTTTGTTGCCAGGGCAGTAAAAAGAAAGTAATACAGCTGAGTTGAGATTTTACTTCCCACCTGAGATGCCTACTTCCCACCTTTAGCTACAATGGCAGCCGGATAAGGTGGTGCACATGCCATGTCAAAGAATATACCCCATTTCACAATCAGTGGGCAGTACTGGACCCAAACACAACACTTTGAAGTGAATAGGGCCACACAGCACAATGTGCAATGTACACAGTGCAATGGTGCAGGCTTTTCAAGGTTAAAACAGACGGTGAGGAGGCTACATATTGCCTCCCAGATGCTTGGTAACTGCCCTCTAAAAAGGAATATGCTGTGGATTGCTTTTTTGCAAAGGAGCAGCAAGGGCTGCCACAAATCTGAACAATCCCTTAAAACAGTCTGCTTTGGCATCTACAGTATTTCTACCCAGACAGTTTCCATTAAATAACCTGTGGTGGTGAGTTGTGTAGCCATCCTAAAATATCGACCCATTGTATTGGGTACAGTTAGTGTATTTAAGAAAACATCACGTGTCTGGCATGCTTCCACCTAGACTAGTTGACTTTTAATGGAAACCAGTCTGGCTTTAGTTTTTACTAGTTTTAATTTCAAGCACATTTTAGTCTGCTGTGGTAGTTGTATTCTACTTAAAAACTTACCTATTAAAGTAAATGGCTGTTTGGACACTAGATTGGAATATTGCTTTGGCAGTTGGCCTATGGGAAGAGCGCAGCTTACAAAGAATTGTTAAGAATCCACTGAAGATTATTGTAGACTATCTGAAGCAGGGGCGGACTGACAACTCATGGGGCCCCCGGGCAATAAGAGATAATGGGGCCCCCTGTGTCTCCGCCTACACTCAAGCCAAAGCCACACCCACACAACACACCACCTACATATTGCAGCCCAGCTGCATAGAAAGGGCATTAAAAAAATTAAAAAAATAATAAAACAACGGCGTGGGGTCCCCCCTCCAATACCAAGCCCTTCGGTCTGGTATGGGTTTTGAGGGGAACCCCCATGCCTAAAATTAAGAAAAAATGGCGTGGGGTCCCCCCCCCCCAAAGACCCATTTTCCGAGCATGCAGCCCGGCAGGTCAGGAATGGGGGGGAACAAACGCCGCCCCCTCCTGAACCATACTAGGCCACATGCCCTCAACATGGAGGGGTGCTTTTGGGGGGTTCCCCCCCAAAGCACCTTGTCCCCATGTTGATGAAGACAAGGGCCTCTTCCCCACAACCCTGGCCTGTTTTGTGGGGGTGTGCGGGCAGGGGGCCTATCGAAATCTGGAAACCCCCTTTAGCAAGGGGGCCCCCAGATCCCGCCCCCCCATTGAATGAGTATGGGGTACATGGTACCGCTACCCATTCACACAACAAAAAAAAGTGTAGTGTGAAACAAGACAGGAGACAGTCTTTGGTCCTTTATTAAAAGGAAAAATAAAAGAATGTCCCCCGAAGTAGATCCAACGTCAATCATGATGCCCGCTGCCACCTGAAAAAAAAAGAAAAAAAAAAGGCTCCGCTTCCGACGTGGCTCCCAGCCCTCTGACTTTTCTGCTGGCTTGACCATTCTTAAATATGTAAGGGGCAGGCAGGCCACCCAGTGACATCACGTGTGTGGCCCCCACCTCTATGTAACATTGACCCAGCGTGCCCCGTACACCACAAGGGGAAGGGTCACACACGTGATATCCCCAGGTGGCCCCGCCCCTTACATATTTAAGAACTGTCAAGCCAGCGGAGCAGTCAGATGACCGGGAGCGATACCTTTTTTTTTTTTTTTTTTTTTAAATTTTTCTTTTTTCGGCTAGCAGCGGCAGCGGACATCATGACTGATGTTGGATCTACTTCGGAGGACATTCTTTTATTTTTCTTCTTTTAATAAAGGATTCCAATAAGCCCCCTCCTGCAGACCCCCACAACCACCGGCCTGGGTTGTGGGGAAGAGCTTCTTGTCCCCATGTGGCCTGGTATGGTTCGGGGGGGGGGGGCGCTCGCTTGTCTCCCCCCTTTCCTGACCTGCCGGGCTGCATACTCGGATAAGGGTCTGCTATGGATTTTTTTTTTGGGGGGGCCACGCCATTTTATTTCTTAATTTAGTCATGGGGGTTCCCCTAAAAATCCATACCAGACTCGAAGGGCTTGGTATGGATAGGGGGGGGACCCCATGCTGTTTTTTAAATTTTTTTTTAATTGCCGACAACTCTTTCTTTTACATTCAGCTGTCAGTGGGGAACCCCGCTGACAGCTGCAACATGAACGCATGCTTTTCACTACTAAAATACTGCATGACTTGATAAAATAAGTCATGCGGTATTTTAGTAGCGTTTTTGAGTGAATTCAAACTTTTTTTTTTAAATGCTATGCAGTAGCCTACGCATACTCAGATGCGTTAAGACACCGCTTAGTGAATTGTGCCCAGTGAGCCTCTCGCCGAGCCCCCTACTGACCCCGGGCCCTCGGGCAATGCCTGAATGATCAGTCCACCCTTTCTCTGAAGTGTAAACCTAAATAAATATGTTTGAGTGGTAATGGGCAAAGTTGTGGAATTGGTTCCATAAATGCTGCTAACACCATTGATGGCACTAGTCATGGTATTAGCAAAGCGAGCGCTGCAGAAGTTGTGTTGGGGAATCATGAGAATGAACAGGGAACATATTTAAATAGGACATATGGGGGGTATAACATTCAGTATTCTGGTGGGTTCCTGATAAGAGACAGGTGGTACTGAGATGTAGTAGATAATCACTTTAAAGGGGTTCAATGGGTTCCTTACCTAGAGGCCTTTTGCAGTCTCCATCACGGCCACCTACCACTGGTACAAGGATTACTGTGGTTATTTCTCTTTGAACACTAATAAAATTTCTGGTGCTACCTAATGATTGTAACAAAGTGATTTCTTCTTTCCAATTTTATCTTTAGGTCGAAAACTCTACTCTCAACTCTCAGAGCACCTCATTAATGAACCAAAATTCACAGCTTCTCCTCCAGCAGTCTAGCTTAGAAAACGAGAACGAGTCTTTGGTAAAAGAAAGAGAAGAGCTGAAATCAATGTATGATTTACTGGTAAAAGACCACGAAAAGCTGGCACAGGTTCACGAGCGCCAAGCAGCAGAGTACGAATCGCTGATCTCCAAACACGGCAACTTGAAGTCTGCACATAAAAATCTGGAGATGGAACACAAAGATCTCGTAGACCGGTATGACTTTGCAGCGATTTAGATGATGGATGAACTGCTGAGTTTTTGGGGTGTTAAAATTGAATGGAAATACAGCATTTGATTGGGATTCCTATGTGTAAGGGGCATGAGTCAGGGAGCTGCAAACACAGATTTTATGTATAAGATCAAGGTGCAGCACTAAAATTAAATTATGTCTGTAAAAATAGATGTACATAAATATAACAAGGATAAAATGTCCATAAAGTGACAGTCTGTGCTAAGGTGTCAATCACAGCTGTAAGTAACTTCAATACTCAGTGATGTGTTTAAAGGTGTGGTAAGAATACGCACTCACCAGATGCGTATTGTAAATACGCATGTAATGTGTATAATCTGAGGTCCCCTTTAAGGATAGATGAGGTAAGCCGGGTACGGAATATCCTCCTTCTGAATGGTATACAGCTCAATGGGTAATTCCTGGATGATCAAGGAACTAATCCTGCCAGAGGTCCCCTTTAAGGATGGATGGGTGTTTGCAGCCTGGAATGGAAACTCCCTCCTCTGGGTACTATGGTGAACTGCAGCTAGCTTCCAGGATAGGGCTCTGCAAATCAATTAGCTCAACAGGGAGCCAAACAGAAGATAGCACATAGTGTATGTCATGATCTGCCTGGCGGCGTCTCTATCAGTCCACAGCACGGATTTCCTCAAGGCGCGGGGTCTAAGTCCCAATCTGCTTATTCACCAGGGCCCCTGATGGTGGGGATGGACTTGGAGCAGACTGAGAGCAGGTCGCGACCCCTGAGTACGTCCGACAATGGTAGAGAGCACCGTCAGAGGAGTGCGGGGTAAGGATTCTGCTGTGAAGAGGCTGGCAGACCTGGTAACCAGGGACGATCCCTGCGGGATGGATGGATGGATCTTCTGGGTGGCTGGAAGCGTAGTCAGGCGGGCCAGGTCAGCAACGTGCGGGCAGCGAGGTACCGGAGGAGAAGGCAGAGAATGGTCGAGGTCTCAAGTCGGGTTTAATAACTAGCGGACAGCGCGGTACAAGGGGTCAGGCAGAAGGATGGTCAGGCAAGCCAAGGGTTAAGCAGGATACAATCAGCAGGGCCAGGTACAAAGCAGAGGTGGCAACGGAGTAACACAGGATCAGGTATCAGGAACAGAGCACAAAAGACCAAACGGCAATTTGACATACCTCTATTCCCGTTTAAATAACCGCCCTGCGCTGTCATTGATGCCAGGCGCGTGTCCGCGAGTGCGCATGCGCGGCCATCGTGATCGCCCGGGTCCCGCTGCCCGCTGATTAGAATGCATCGGTGTCCTGCGCATGCGCCGCCCGGCGTATCGCGGCAGGGACACCGATCCCTGACAGTGTAGTGTTTAAAAGGTATAAAGATTTATTATCCACGTATGAAGAAGTAAAATCCATGTTATATAGGTAGTAATGAAGGGACTGAGCGTCCACTGAGCAAGATGGCCGCCGGACCTTCACGAGGCTCCAGTGGCATGACGTCACAGCGTATTGGCTCCTCCTTGACGCGTTTCCCCTTCTGAAGACGTGCGTGGCACGAAACGCTTCAAAGAGGAGCCAATAAACCGTCACGTCGCCAGAGCCTCGTAAAGGTCCAGCAGCCATCTTGCTTCACATTGAAAGCAGAAGTGATGTAACATTGTTTTGCTTCCACTGTGTGATGAGACACCTAGCTAACAGGTGGGATGCCTCACTTTCGTCATTCACTGCATGTGCTACTAGTAATACGGAGTCATGTCAGAGCTTACTGAGCTTCAAAGAGGGAGAATCGTTGGCGCCGCGTAGCTGATGCCTCTGTGACTGAAGGTGCCAATTTATATGTCGTGTCCTGAGGTCCAGTATTAACCTCCCTGGTGGTCTAATTATGTCATATTTTTGAATGTCAAAGTGCTACATTGTTTTGCATGGAAATTTGTTGTTTTATATTGTAGGCCTGTAATTCTTAGGAATAACTCACTGAAATCTGTCCAAACAAGAGTCTAGTAAACATCCCGGGTATGATAAAGTTTGAAACACGAAATCATAAATTATGATATAATAAATAATTAGAAAAATAAATAAATAAATTTAATTCAATAATATAATCAAACCAAAAAAACACTGAAATTTTCCAAGCAGAAAGAACAGTGAAAAAGTGCAGGCAGGGGGCGCAGGACAAAGCACTCGGGACAAAATTTAGGTGAAATGGTTTAATACAGTAATGTAATTCTAACAGATTACAATGTATTGTGTGTATGTCATTTTTTTACTTTTTTGAATCTCCCGACGGTTCTGCCCCCTGCGTCCCGATTCTCGCAGGGAATGGAACCTGGGAGATGGATGCCGGCATCAGCCGGAGGACATGGTAGAAGGACATCCGGGGATCGCAGGACAAGGAAAGGATCAGGGGATCTCAGGACAAGCATTACAGTGTAATCCTGAGTGTGGCTCGGGGTTACCGCTTTTGGTACTGTAAATTAACCCCGAGTCACACTCGGGATTACCGCCAGGGAGGTTAAAGGTTATGACGGTATATACAGATTCTGGGAAAGAGTCGTCTGATAAGCATAGGCGCTGTCAACTGATCAAAAGAGACAAATGGACATTGTGCAGCATTGTCGGAAAAAGAAAACAACTGCTACAAAAGTGACTGCAGAGCTCAATCTCAGTCCCATCAAGACTGAGTCCTGTGAAGACTGAAATTGAGCTCTGCAGTCACTTTTGCAGCAGTTGTTTTCTTATTCCGGGTCACAATCCTGCGCAATGTCCTTTAGTCTCTTTCAGTCAGTTGACCATGTCAACCACGCTTATGGTTATCAGAGAACGTTTTCCTGGAAACTGTATATACCGCCATAACCTTTGATGCTGAACCTCGCAACACGGGAAATAAATTGGCAACTTCACTCACAGAGGCACCAGCTAAGCGGCACCAACAATTTGACCTCTTTGAAGCTCAGTAAGCTCTGATATGACTCCGTATTACTAGCGCACACATAAATAACGAAAGTGAGGCTTCCCACCTGTTAGGTGTCTCATCACACAGCAGAAGCAAAAAGAATGTTACATCACTTCTGCTTTCAACACGAAACGTCGTCACTTTCACGCCTGCAAATCATGTAGTGTTTCCACTTTCTTGTCTAACCCCTGTACATTACCATTCTTTGGGCGCCAGTCTGAGTGCTGGAACTTCAGCCAGCTCATCTACGTCAGCTACACTAGAACTGAATTCTGCTCTTGCATGTGAGGGGATTCCGAGAAAAGGAAACTCCTACCACGTGTAGCTCAGTAGATGGCTCTGTAGCACTTAGGGATGTCGAATTAAACAAGGAATTCCCTTCTGATGCCAGGATCCACGGTTAATATTTAATGCTGTAGCTGTTCCATAATTATTTCTCACATCAGCCTTAGATTGTCTCATACTCGGTTCTAAAGCTGTTTTGTTAGGACGCTCTGTATTCTCAGATCCACAAACAAGACCAAATAACTATAGGCAAGGTTTTAATGAAGGGGAGCGTGGCAGTAAAATAAAGCAATGATCCTGGCTGTATTGCAGAGAATGTGGACACTTCTACAAGCGGACAACACTTGTTAAGCTGCCCATAGACACACTACATGGCCATCACACCTACCTATATGGATGCCCTTCATTGTGTTCAGGTGTTTCCAATGAAGGGTACCATTAATGCTGCAGCATACGAAGACATGTTGTACAATTGTGTACTTCGTTGTGTTATACCTTGTGGCACCATTTTGGCAAAGGGTCTTTTGTGTTCCTGGAAGACTTGGGGTTTGCCAACTTTTGTGTTAAGCTACTTTGTTGGCCTTAACAGAACTCTGATCTCAACCTGTATTGTAAGTTTGCAGATACTGTAGTTTTTTATCATGACTGAAGTTTTACTTTAATATTGCCCCAGGTTAGTATTTTAAAACATCAAGATATACACTCTCCGGTCTCTTTATTAGGTACACCTGTTCAATTGCTGGGAACACAAATTGTTAATCAGCCAATCACATGGCAGAAACTCAATGCATTTAGGCATCTAGGTGTGATGAAGACGACTTGCTGAAGTTCAAACCGAGCATCAGAATTGGGAAGAAAGTGGATTTAAGTGACTTTGAACATGGCATGGTCGTTGGTGCCAGACCGGTTGGTCTGATTATTTAAAAAACTGCTGATCTGCTGGGATTTTTGCGCACAATCATTTCTTGGGTTTACAGAGAATGGTCCGAGAAAGAGAAAATATCCAGTGAGCAGCAGTTGTGTGGACAAAAATGCTTTGTTGATGTCAAAGGTAAGAGGAGAATGGGCAGACTGGTCCGAGATGACAAGAAAAAGAGAGGAAGGCGCCTCTAAGTGCAGTATTGACAATTTATTTAGTAAACAATGGATAAATTGCACTTACAAGATAAACGGTTAAAAAGACTCATCGTGTGGTAATTGGATCCAGGTGGGACGTCCAGCCGTCCCAGCAGCAAACTATGTCTATAGGAGGATCAGGAAGTAGAGTCCAGGATGTGCCTGTGCATCAAAAATGAAGCTTGGAGAGCAGAGTCAGATGTAGCAGTAATTACTTGCCTCCCTCCCATTCCCTTCACACTATACAAATGTCAGGGTTCTACTGGGGCTCAGGTCTGAAGAAGGAGCCTATTGAGCATGCTCCGAAATGCATTACTGCCCCCTTCACCTGCTACATCTGACTCTGCTCTCCAAACTTCATTTTTGATGCACAGGCACATCCTAGACTCTACTTCCTGATCCTATAGTCATAATTTGCTGCTGGACGGGCTGGATGTCCCACCTGGATCTAATTACCACACGGTGAGTCTTTTTAACTGTTTATCTTGCAAGTGCAATTTATCCATTGTTTACTGAATAAATTGTCAATACTGCACTTAGAGGCGCCTTCCTCTCTTTTTCTTGTTACTGCATTAGAGCCTTGCTTCCACTCTATGAAGAGCTGCCTCAGTGTTACTGCTCCCATCCATCCATCCCCGATATCCATCTGGCACCTTTATCTTACAGCTACAGAGGTTGGGCTCCAACAAGCGCGCCCTATATAATATACATTTTCTGGTCCGAGATGACAGGCAACATTAACTCAAATAGCCACTTGTTACAACCAAGTTATGCAGAATACTATCTCTGAACGCACAACACGTCGAACATTGAAGCAGATGGGCTACAGCCACTCCTGTCAGGAGCCACTCCTGTCAGCTAAGAACAGGAAATGGAGCCCATTATTCACACAGGCTCACCAATATTGGACAATAGAAGATTGGAAAAACATTGCCTGGTCTGATGAGTCTCGATTTCAGCTGCAACATTCAGATGGTAGGGTCAGAATTTGATGTAAACAACGTGAAAGCATGGATCCATCCTGCCTTGTATCAATGGTTCAGGCTGGTGGTGGTGTAATGGTGTGGGGGATATTTTCTTGGCACACTTTGGGCCCCTTAGTACCAACTGAGCATCGTTTAAACAGCACGGCCTACCTGAGTATCGTTGCTGATCATGTCCATCCCTTTATGACTATAGTGTCCCCATCTTCTGGTGGTGACTTCCAGCAGGATAATGCTCCATGTCACAAAGCTCAAATCATCTCAAACTGGTTTCTTGAACATGACAATGAGATCACTGTACTCCAATGGCCTCCACAGTCACCAGATCTCCATCCAATAAAGCACCTTTGGGATGTGGTAGAACGGGAGATTTGCATTATGGATGTGCAGCCGACAAATCTGCAGCAACTACTTGATGCTATGTCTATATGAACCAAAATCTCTGAGGAATGTTTCCAACGCCTTGTTGAATCCATGCCACGAAGAATTAAGGCAGTTCTGATGGCAAAAGGGGGGTCTAACCTACTAGCAAAGTGTACCTAATAATGTGGCCGGTGAGTGTATGTGAGCCATGAGTTCAGCTCTAAAATGCATAGTTAGATACATAGATGAAACACAAAAATGAAAATGAAATATTGTCAAAACTTTTTCAATTCTTTTCATCCTCTTTCTTAATTCAGGTATGCCTGCAAGAGAGCATAATCAGGCCCCAGTTCTTTAGTACAGCCTGCGCTTAATACATTACTCCAGCCCACTGAGTGTGGTCTTTCTGGGCTCCTCTATAACTATGCTCACAGTGGCAGACTAACAGCCCCTTGCATCTGTCAACAGGTGCCCTTTGGAATCAGAACAGAGCGAACCGAATGTCACTTTTGTGATATTCATGTTCATTCAGTTTCTTTCCTGCATCTTGTAACGGACTCATGTTAGGTCTTTGGGCAGGCTGATGTAAATAGACATGCATCGGTGTACATCCTCTTACCTCCAATACATCACATTTAGGTCCGATGAAACAGAAAAGGACGCAAACCCTTTTTCCATTTTTTTCGCAGACCTAGACAAGCTTGAAGGTAGTTGGATGTAAAAGAATGGACGTCCGTTTACATTCGGCTGTCCATAGACATAACATCCTGTTCAGATCTGCCTGAAAAACCTAATAGGCAGATCCAATAGGAACGTTCATCTGAATTATTACAGCCCTACTGAAAACTGTATGATGTAAGAAATGTGAAATCGATTTTGTTTAATTGGTGGATTAGTGCACATTATTTTTTTTGTTATTATTATTATATAGGATTTATATAGCGCCAACAGTTTGCTCAGCGCTTTACAATATAACAGGAGACAATACAGCAACAATACAGTTCAATACAAGAGGGTTAGGAGGACCTGATCCTTGGAGCTTACAATCTAAGAGGGAGGGGCCAGTGGTACAAAAGGTAATAACTGTGGGGGGTGGGCTGGTAGGAGGAATAGAAGATTCCATTATTAGCTGAAGGCTTCCCTGAAGAGATCGGTTTTCAGAGATCGCCTAAAAGTGAGCAGAGTAGGCGATAGTCTGATAAATTGGGGTCGAGAGTTCCAGAGGATGGGGGAGGCTCTGAACATAACTTTGATTCCTATGAGTTGCTAGAAATCACAATATTGGCATGTTTTTGTATTTAGGAAAAATATATTGTACAGCCTGGAAACACACAGAGAAATTAATCTATAAAATGCAAGTTCAGCGTTGCAGAGATAGAGGTGCTTATCCAATGGCTAAACGGGGATCAGTGTGTTGATTTTGGAACCTTCTTTTAGTTGAAATGAATTCTGATTAGTATGGAGAATAATATTATATAAAAATAAAAGTAATATAAGTTCCATCATCAACTTTGTGTTAATATCCTTAAGTTGTGCTGAAATCGCAGATCTGCAGTACACAACTTGCCCAGCAGGGGCACCCCATGACTTTGCCGCAACTAATCATCACTGGGTCTCCTACAGAGTTTGTAAATGTCAGGACTATTTATTGAGAGAGAATAACAAGGCCTGTGTCTGAGCCCCTGCCTTCATTTCCTGGAGCGTGCTCTGTGTTCGGGCCAAGAATAGCATTTTTCATATTTGATTCCCAGTTTGCCGGGCATCAGCGTCACGATGCAGACAAGTGCCCCTTTATTCTGCTCTGGCTATGGTTGATTATGACTGTTCCAAGAAGTAGACAACAATGTTGGTTAATGAAAGGAACATCAATAAACAGCCGTTCGTGTATAGGGCAAGCTGCAGACTTACAGCTGTTTGGGAATCCCAGCATGCTCTCATAAGGTCATGCTGGATCTTGTAGTTCCACACCAGCGGGAGGACCATTGGATGCCAGTGCCTGATTTCAATCATGCTTACTCAAAAATGTAAAGCTGAACTCCAGGCTAAAAAAAATGTCACTTAAATATATTGCTCTATAGTCACAAAGAGCATAAATCCACTTTACATGCGCCAAATGCCTCTGCAAATCCAGGCATTACATTGTAAAAGTCGCAGTGACATCACCATTGTGCTGTGCATAGAGCAGAGCTGTGGGAGGAACCCAACAGCCCCCCCCCCCCCCCCCCCACTAAAGGCTGGAAAATACAGGAGGGTGCGGAGACCAGACCAGTCACCTTGCACAAGAAGGGAGAGCAGCAGTGAACGGTCTTTAATACAGGAGGCACCTGCAGAGAGGCAAAGTTTCACACTGGATTGGCAAGTTGGTGAGAGGGCTTCCTTTACACCTCTTGTCCCGTCTCCCCTGGGGCTGATGAGAGGGTATAACAGGTCACAGAGTGGGATGGGTGCCTGTAAGAGATCCAGGTTGGGAGATCTTGCAGCACCTGCGAAGCTGAAAGCAATGCAACAGGCAAGCTGGCAGATGCAGGAATGGATGTGTGGTCAGACAGGCAGGAGTTGGCAACAATCGGGCAGCAGGAGTACAGAATCAGGAACCAGGAGCAGAGTCAGGGCCACGCCAAAATCAGTATCGGGCAAGCAGAGAAGGTACTGGAACAGCAGGCAGGAGGCAAGGTCAGGTCACAAGCTGGAGTCAGCAACAGGGGTTCAGGAACAGCAGAGTCAACAATCCAGGTCAGGATACGGATATTTACATGGGACCAGGTCACAAGCAGAAGGAGCTGACAACCAATCAGCAATGATCCTGAGTCCTGTAGGACTTTAAGTAGGCCACTGGGTGTCAAAGTCCGTCCAAACATGCACGCTTACACTCATGCTCATAGAGGTCCTAATTCTGTGCACAGTTCAGTGGACCATTGGGCATGAGCTTGGTTTTCCTGACACTCATTTATTTGGACAATATATTTTTATCCTGAAGTTCAGCTTTAATATATAGAGAGATTGTGTAAATGTGGATTTTTTTTTTGTTCTCCTAGATATAACCAGCTGCTAAAACAGAAAGTGCAGTTAGAAGACCTGGAAAAGGCTCTTAAGGAGGAACAAGGGAAAATGGTGCAGGAGAACAAGCAGCATGAAATGTTGGCTTCAGACTATCAAAGACTCACAGAAGAGCATGGGAGGTAAGTGTTGCACTAAAGAGACTAAATACTGCATTCTGTTTGCCCGGAATGTGGTCAGGAGCAGGGGCGGACTGACCATTTGGGAATTCGGGCACTGCCCGAGGGCCCAGGGACAGTAGTGGGCCCCATGAGATGCCCCTGGTACCTTTCGTAGACTTTTTTGGGTGTGGTTTGAGTGTGGGCGAGGACACAGGGCCCCCATGATCCCCTATTGCCCGGGGGCCCCATGAGTTGTCAGTCCGCCCCTGGTCAGGAGGCATTGTGTGGTATATGAAAACTGCGCAGTTCAGCGTGGAGCAGAATGTGCACCTTTTGAATCCAGCGGACCATTACCTTTCTGTCTTTAGAAAAGATTGCTGCCTGTGTGTGGGGGAGGTGATGAATCCAACACCAGCCATCCAAGCTTTAACCATTACATAACATCCTTCTACAAGGAAAATCTGGTATTCAACCACGAGCAGGGCTTCTTTTCATCAGGAACGCAGGGGGAACACAGTTCCAACACCTCCAGCACTGACTGTATGTAATGCCAAGGGTTGGTGGGGTGTACTGCAGGGTCCATTGATGCTGGCTGCTGGGGGATCTATTGTTGCTGGATTGGATCTATTTTTGTGCAGAGGGGTGTCTATTGATGCTGGGATGGAGTCTACTGTTGATAGCTGGGGATATATTGGTCTTATGTTGCTGTGGGGTCAATTGTTGCTGGGAGGGATCTACTGTTGAGGGAAGGGTCTATCATTGCTAGCTGCTGGAGGATCTATTGATACTGACTGTGGGGAAATCTGTCAATGCTGTTGGGAGACTATTGTTGCTGGGGGGGTATTTTGTTTCAGGTGGTCCTTTGTTGCTGGGGGGGGGTCTATCGGTGCTGGCTGCAGGGGATCTATTTTACTGCTTTTTTTGTTATTACAATTTTCATACAAATTGATACTTGGTTCTGTATTCTCTAAAAGGGCGGTGCTGGGAGGTAGGTAAGGGGTGGAACGCAGGGATGGTGCAGGGCGGGACGAGGTTATGGGGTTACTCTGAAAAGGAAAGTTCCTTCACCTATTCACTAAGGAAAAAAAGCCCTGACCATGACCCATGAAGTCTTACTATAACTAATGGTTAGAACACAACAATTGCTTTCTGCTAATATCAGGAAAGTAGATTGGAAGGATGGCAGTATTAGGGTATTTGAAAAGGATGCTTGGATTCTTTGGACTGGCAGCCTCTACACGCCAAAGGATGTATACTTTATTCTTAGTATGTAAAATGTAATTGTCCAAATATAGATTTATTCCAAGGTATGCTAAAAACTTTATCACAAATCCAATGCGTTTTGGGGGTCGGAGAACACCCCCTTCATCAGAGCTTGAAATGAAAGGTAATTTATACAGAACTGATGCAAAAGTTGTTAAAAAGCAGTCTGTCAGCAGCTGGTCCAACTGGCATACCAACTGCTGATGGACATTTGTTTACCAACATGCGCATTGAACACATATTTTGCATCAGTCCAGTATATATTACCTTTCATGAAGGTGGTGTTCTCTGAATCTCGAAACACATTGGCTTTGTGATAACATTTTTATCTTACCTGTCTATTGCTGAGAATATGGGAAATCTGTACAAATAGATGACCTTTGTTAGGCTTCCCATAGACAAGAAAGTAGTCATTCCTGCACACATGATGTAACCGGGGCCTGTTCTAGCTGATCTGATCTGGGGGTGCAGTAAAATAATATATATGTCAATAGTGTGACAGAGATGCAGGATACTAGTATTCCCTGTTCACTTGGCTTGCTTTTGTACCACGAAGTCACAACCCGAGTGTTGCGTCTGACAGGTAGTACAGAGGTGGTGCAGGAGGGAACAGGACACGCTAACAGGTTTAAGGCTGTCATTAGATTAGGATGATTAAACAGAACCTGCGCCCCCTTATATAAGGTGTCCCTATCAATGTTCCTCTTTACATCAAGAGTTCCCCCTTACATCACTGTTCCTAGAAGAGTCCCCCTGTGTATTAGGTGTCCCACTCAGTGTGTCCTTTTACATCAACTGTCTTCATCAGAGTGCCCCCTTACATCAATTTCCCCCAGCAAAGTGCCCCCTTACATAAAATGTCCTCATCAGAGTACCCCCTTACATCATATGCCCCATCAGAGTGCCCCCTTACATCATTTGCCCCATCAGAGTTCCCCCTTACATCATATGTCCCATTAGAGTGTTCCCCCTTACATCATATGCCCCATTAGAGTTCCCCCTTACATCATATGCCCCATTAGAGTGCCCCCTTACATCATATGCCCCATTAGAGTGCCCCCTTACATCATATGCCCCATTAGAGTGCCCCCTTACATCATATGCCCCATTAGAGTGCCCCCTTACATCATATGCCCCATTAGAGTGCCCCCTTACATCATATGCCCCATTAGAGTGCCCCCTTACATCATATGCCCCATTAGAGTGCCCCCTTACATCATATGCCCCATTAGAGTGCCCCCTTACATCATATGCCCCATTAGAGTGCCCCCTTACATCATATGCCCCATTAGAGTGCCCCCTTTCATCATATGCCCCATTAGAGTGCCCCCTTTCATCATATGCCCCATTAGAGTGTCCCCTTTCATCATATGCCCCATTAGAGTGCCCCCTTACATCATATGCCCCATTAAAGTGCCCCCTTACATCATATGCCCCATCAGAGTGCCCCCTTACATCATATGCCTCATCAGAGTGCCCCCTTACATCATATGCCTCATCAGAGTGCCCCCTTTATATCATATGCCTCATCAGAGTGCCTCCTTACACTAAATGTCTCCATCAGAGTGTCCACTCACATCAAATGCCCCAATCAGAGTCCCCTTACATCAATTGCCTCCATCAAGTCTCTGAGATCTGGGGGGGGGGAGCACAACTAAAATCTAGGGGGTGCATAGTCCACACTAGCAAGCCCCTTGATCCAGGCCTGGATGTAACCATCCTAGGTGCTGACTGTCTACAGAATGCTACACAGAATTCCAAGAAGTTTTGTTGTGTGAATGGAGATGAAGGTTGGTTGGGGTAACACCGGGGTTGAGGACAGGTCTGATTAACCACCCTCCATCCAAGAAAAGCCATCCATATTGGATTTCTGGCATCCTGGGTTTGTTCTTCTACCTGGTCTACCTGCATAGCTGACTACCAATTGTCTTTTAATTACAGATCACCTGCTCATGTTCAGATAGCTTTGAGGAAATGTGTTGGTGGTCAGTGCGATCCTCTTTGAGATACTTCATCTGGTATATTTGATAGGAACGGAAAACAAAGTATCTGTTCATTTTTTTGAAAATTGATGTTCCACTGAGAATAATTTTAAATAAGCTACTAGTTGGTTTAAATGTTGAAGTAACCCTACATATCGCGGAGTGATTGAGGTCGGGAATAGTGCTGACCACAAATGTGTTAAGCTTATTATTTCCATACAAGTTTTCTTGCTCCATGCAATTAGTAGAAGTGAAATCTTGTGGAGTCAGCTCTGTGGAAATGGCTCCGATCAGCAGGACTGCAGTTTCATGTGCACACTTGAGATCTCACGACCTATATGGGGTGACACCGGACCCCACTCCACGAAAATGTAAGTTGTAAAGAAAACCGACGATCCCCGCAGGATGGATCGGATCCATCCCGTGGGGATCCTCGGCTTGCTTTGCAACTTACCTTTTTGTGGAGCAGGTCCGGTGTCACCCCGTGTGGTAGGTGTCACCCGGTGCGGTGTGCACCTGCCTCGGGTACGCCACTGGTGCACAGTCCAAATTCAATCCAAAATGCAACTCCATGTACATTCGATCGGTGACAGCATCCGGTGATAACTCTAACACATGAATCCGCCACCAGCTAGGATGCACGCTCATCTCCACACTGTGCCCCCTAAGGGTCAACACACTTCAGAGTAGAGCTCAGCGGAGCGATCCTAATCACATCAGTACCCTTGGCAGCAATCCAGCAACCATACAAATGGTGGTGGTATCCCCCTCCTGACGATGGTCAGCCAAACAGCCTCTCAGGCGATTCCCATAAAGAAGTAGAAAACAAGGACTCCCGTAGTGTAGTAAACTATAAAATGTATTAAGGCAACACAAGCCAAAAGCCTACTTACAACAAACAACAGGGTCTGCAGACCCACAAGCAGAAAATAAGCAAGGAACACACAAGGTGTACTTGCATGGGTGTAGCAAGATGGCGGCTGCCGTCCACGTCGGAAATGACGTCAAAACGCCTCCATCCTACGTTTTATGTCACTGGTCACGTGACTTCCTCAGGGCCAATCCTTTTGTCCGGATTTCTTCTTTAACCCCAAAGATATGAAAAAATGTCAGCTGCACTCCAAACCTAGCTCCTCTTGCTGTATGTATTGATTTTTTGCAAAATTACTGCATACAACATGTCTCACCCAAAAAACAACTGTGTGTCACCGCTTCTGGCCTGCCCACAAGCATAAGGAACACCCTCTATCCTTGTGAACAAGCCAGGAGTGATGAAATGTGACAAGGAAGGTTGAGTTTTCAGTGGAGACATTGTATGCAGAAATTGTTCTCACATTCAATAAATACAGCAAGAAGAGCTAAAGCTGGCCATAGACCAGGGATGTCAAACTGGTGGCCCTCCAGCTGTTGCAAAACTACAAGTCCCATCATGCCTCTGCCTTTGGGAGTCATACTTGTAAATGTCAATCTTACAATTCCTCATGGGACTTGTAGTTTGGCAACAGCTGGAGGGCCACCAGTTTGACACCTGTACCCTAGACGGTTCGAATCTTGGCTGGTTCAGCAGGAACTGGAACCATGGACAGTCAGGCTTAATGTACCCAAGTTGATTGATCATCATCTTGGGTACAACCAGCGTGCTGGCTTTTACATACGATTACAAAAGCAGCTGGCATAGCCGCTAGCAATATTCACTGTTTCACCAGGCAGGGACAGCTCCCCCCCCACACCTCCCGATGGAAGAATACAATGGCTTGGCAGGAGAGATTCCCCCGT